ATTTAGATTACTTATTTACTTACTTACAACACTTTTCAAGTATTGGAACATTGTTTTAGATATTTTTAGAGACATTTTGACTAAGGATGTGCGTGCACGCGTGTGTGTACGATATAGTCAAGGGGAGGGGCGCTAGCTTTAGGGAAACTAACTAAAACTTACCCCATAAGACACCCAGGGGGTTCGGTACGAGCCTAACAAGTTAATGATCTTTTCAAAGTTTTAAATAATCATTTTATGAATGGATTTTAAACTCGTTTCTATAGTTCATTTGGCATTAAATTTACGTTATTTACACAATACTTAACACGTATCACCCAAACTACCCACCTTTCCCAAATGGGGCAATGAAAAAGCAAAAGGCATGAGTTGGACCTAATGGTGATAAGAACTACACAAGCGGGGACAGACCCCCCATTTTTTCATGGGGAAGAAAAATTTGTTAGTACATTGAAATACGAACTTATACATATAAGATAAAATGCTCTATTCTAATGATAACCCATAGAATTCCAGAGTAGGTCTTCGGAATTGTATGGATTTTAGTGGTGTTAATTCACATGGGTAATTATACTACCATGGAGAGCCCAATAGCAGGGGAGCGATCTTACTATGATAGCTCCCATGCTAAGAGCACAAGAAATACAATGAATTCAATAGTGTTTGTGTACGTGTGTGCAAGTGGTTGCAGAAATAATGACACCGGTTGATTTAGTGTGAAATTTTTGTCGTGGTAAGCTAGCTAAATCAAACCGCGCCGCGCTGCACGTGGGCATCGTATTTGGAGTATCTAGGGTCCTCGCGAATTACTTTAATTATTAAACGCACGGGTTAAAACTATACAACGTTTACCTCTATACCACGCACGTTTTACAACTATAACAACGTCGCGAGATGCCCCTTCTCGTTGCTTAAGCCAGTAAACTGACTTCCCAACGAAAAGCGCCATTTGATGTGAACCTTTATGTAAAAGATTCACATCCGCGCGCTTGCTGCAAGCAGCATTTAAGCATAAACCACAGCAATAGAATCATCACAATATCAACATACAGATAAATAAAAAAAAGCAACCAAGCCATGTGAAATAACACCACTACACCTAGACTAACCATTACACAATATCGTGTAAGGAATTTTGTGTAGCACTCAAAATTCCTTACACATTTTCAAGACATAGTCATACAGTCATGAAGGTAGGAAATCACCTCATGTGTTCTACCTCCATGATACAACAAATCAATGTCTTTTGCGCGACCAGCTTATATATATAGCGCCACGCCACACCGAAGTGAGCACTACCCCGTTTGGAGTCTCGAAAAGAATCCCGAATTCCACTATATACATCGTCGACGCACGAATTACAGGTAGACATGAAAGCGCGCGAGTTAATATGTATTATACAACGCCCGAGTCTAAGTTCGCACCACCAGCTTTAGCGCAAGTTGGCACCGTGTTTCTGGCCTCAAAATCTAACGAATCCCCGAATTACACTTATACAACGTCGACGCTCGAATTACAGTAGATATAAAGCGCAGCGCCGGGGCCATTTCGCGCCGCCATGTGGGGAAAATGAAAAAAAAAGACCACACTAACCTTCACCACTTACCTTTACTATATGTTGTATCTCGAAAAGGGGCGACAACAAGTGATCGACTGTAGAACTTCCTAGTGGGTGGACAAGCCTCCATTGTCGCGGTAGATAGGAACACTTAGTACCAGCGTGTACAGCCCCCTGCTTCTGTCGGTCTTCAGGATCGAAGCTGGGGTCACCAGAATTCCCCAGACCAGTCACGAAACTACATCCTGCCAGTTTGGTGATGTGGTGGAACTGTATTGTCAGAAAAGGAAAGAAAAAGAAGAAAAAGCATAGGTTAATTAATGCTTCTGCTAGATAAGCTGTGTAAAGTCTTTCGTTCACCCATACAGGAGCGAAAGATTCATTTATTCATTCACTCAATTATTTATTCATTCATCCTTTCGCTCATTCCTCCATACAGCCTGGCCTTCAGAGCTGCAGGGGGTACTTCCTTCAACTCGTCAGTGATTCAGAAGACGTCTTCGCGTTGTGGGCACTTCGAATTCAGTCTCGGGTATACGCTGGAACTGTGATGTAGGACGACAAGAAAATAAGCACGTTAACAATGAGTATATATAAGATGCAAACTACACCCTGATTCACTCAGACATGGGAGAATCAAGCGACACTTGTGTGTGCGTGCGTGAATGCGAAGAAAAGACTCGAGATCAACACAGTAATCTTAATTGTATTATCAGGCACTTTATTTAGATTACTTACTTACAACACTTTTCAAGTATTGGAACATTGTTGTAGATATTTTAGAGACATTTTGACTAAGGATGTGTGTGCACGCGTGTGTGTACGATATAGTCAAGGGAGGGGCGCTAGCTTTAGGGAAATTAACTAAACTTACCCCATAAGACACCCAGGGGGTTCGGTACGAGCCTAACAAGTTAACGATCTTTTATAAGTTTTAAATTATCATTTTAAGAATGGATTTTAAACTCGTTTATATAGGTCATTTGGCATTAAATTTACATTATTTACAAACTAATACTTAACACGTATCACCCAAACTACCCACCTTTCCCAATTGGGGCAATGAAAAAGCAAAGGCATGAGTTGGACCTAACCCCATGAGAACTACACAAGCGGGGACAGACCCCCCATTTTTTCATGAGGAAGAAAAATTTGTTAGTACATTGTAATACGAAGATGAAATGCTCTATTCTAATAATAACCCATAGAATTCCAGAGTAGGTCTTCGGAATTGTATGGATTTTAGTGGTGTTAATTCACATGGGTAATTATACTACCATGGAGATCCCAATAGCATGGGAGCGATCTTACTATGATAGCTCCCATGCTAAGAGCACAAGAAATACAATGAATTCAATAGTGTTTGTGTACGTGTATGCAAGTGGTTGCAGAAAGAAGGACACCGGTTGATTTAGTGTAAAATTTTTGTTGTGGTAAGCTAGCTAAATCAAACCGCGCCGCGCTGCATGTGGGCATCGTGTTTGGAGTATCTAGGGTCCTCGCGAATTACTTTAATTATGAAACGCACGGGTTAAAACTATACAACGTTTACATCTATACCTCGCACGTTTTACAACTATAACAACGTCGCGAGATGCCCCTTTTCGTTGCTAAGCCAGTAAACTGACTTCCCAACGAAAAGTGTCATTTGATGCGAACCTTTAATGTAAAAGATTCACATCCGCGCGCTCGCTGCAAGCAAATATACTAAGTATAAACCACACCAATAGAATCATCACAATATCAACGTACAAATTAATACAAAATCAACCAAGCCATGTGAAATAACACCACTACACCTAGACTAACCATTACACACTATCATGTAAGGAATTTTGTGTAGCACTCAAAATTCCTTACACATTTTCAAGACATAGTCATACAGTCATGAAGGTAGGAAATCACCTCATGTGTTCTACCTCCATGATACAACAAATCAATGTCTTTTGCGCGACCAGCTTATATATAGCGCCACACCGAAGTGAGCACTATACCGTTTCGACTCTCGAAAAGAAGCCCGAATTACACTATATACAACGTCAACGCACGAATTACAGGTAGACATGAAAGCGCACGAGTTAATATTATACAACGCCCGAGTCTAAGTTCGCACCACCAGCTTTAGCGCAAGTTGGCACCGTGTTTCTGGCCTCAAAATATAAAGAATCCCCGAATTACGCTGGCACATCGTCGTTGCACGAATTACAGGTAGACATGAAGCGCACTAGTTAGTGTTACAAAACGCCGGGGCCATTTCGCGCCGCCACGTGGGGAAAATGAAAGCCCACTTACCTCCACGCTTACCTTCATGATCTTGTAACTTGTACTGGCGGGAACAACGTGGGTAGGCACAGCTTTATAGCCCGGTTTTGGACTGTCCCATTTGTTTCTACAGGTAAGTGCTTACGTCACACTAAGAAAGGAGGTTAGATTTAATTGCTCAAACGACGCAAGGGACGTTTCGTTCTCATTTCTACAACGATGTGTATTAATTGCTACATGTATATGGTTATGTTTTTTGACTATCCAATGATTATTCTTTGGGACCAAAAAAGTAATGATAAATCTCTTCCCCCGTTTAGACGCAAACAATGGTTTCATCCAGCCCCTTCGAACCTGTGTCCCACCTGCCGATATGTAAATGTCCCCAGCAGTGGCTATACGCATAATTCCTTAGTCACAAAAGGCACCAGCTGTATACAATAACCCATTGACCAACCAGAGGTTATGTCCTTGGATGAAGGAAAGAGAGATTGAATGAGCGAACGAATAGAATCTTCATTGACTCTTTATTCATTCGCCATTTGAAAGCCCAACCCAAAAGTCAGTTCAGTTTTTCACGCGTGCGGAGCAATTGAGTTGTGCTTTTCAGACGCAGATGCACTCAGAAAAAGACACAAGAAAGCAAGATACACCTTCTTTGGTAAACAACATAAGAAATACCAATCATTTCAAGAACAAAGACACGAGGTATGATGACCACTCTGAAGTCCAATCAAACACCAATTAACCTATCATGCTCGATCCTGGCACCGTACAGCCACCTATTAGTGATGTAACAAAGAAATAGTTCGTAAGTGTACGAAATCTATTTTCAGACACACCATGTTTTATTGAACCTCTTGTTCTCCCTTAACATACTACTGACGAGAACAACAAGGGCTAATTACGAGTTTTGTATTTTTCTAATAACAAAGCAGTCATTTGATGCATTGTGCCTTGTCATCAGTACCATATTATGAAATGCATGTAACCGGTGCAATTTGCATGCAACTGGGCAGGGAGCTAGCTGGTCTTGAATTCCGTACAACTCGTAGCCCTCCGTGATCTTGCCCCCATATATCTATATCTATCTATCTATCTATCTATATATATATATCACATAGAAGTAAAATGTCCTTGCTAATATCAAAATTACACAGACAAAAGGCTTGACAAAGGATTACATATTCACACGAAGCTTTATTCACAGTAGCTTGATATTTGTGTACACTTATAATATGCACAGAAATCACAGTAAAACATCAAGTAGTAGTGCACAATGCTAGCTATTCCATATCCCACAGTCAGTAGTACTGTATTGCCTATATATGGTAACATGTAGATGCACATGCCACTTACTGAATAAAACTTGTTGTTGGAAAGCTACACTGAATGACTTTCTATGTATTACAATGTAGGTATATATCTGTGTTACACCATTTTAAACTACATGCAACAGGAACCCTAAGCTTCTCACTGCAGTTAATATTATTATACAACTTACAACACCTTTATCCAGCTCCAGTAATGTACATGTACTTAAACTTTGGCTCTTCTCCTCAAAAGTCTTAAATGGACAAGACCACAGTTATCACTAGCATTCAACTGTTCCAATCTACATGTTAACAGATTAATGTAGGGAGGATAGAAGAAATTAACGTTTTCTCGAGTCTTATTTTTAGGGAAAATCATGCTGTTGACCATCAAGTGCACAAGGGCTAACAACTGTTGAGGTGGGGATTTTATGTGTATCACAAAATAGTTACATTCTTGGTGGCCTAAGTAGTTTCTTCTATTACCTATATAGATTTAGCACTTGTAATATTTCACACATCAAACCATTAAACATGGACATATTTCATGACACAATATATTTAGCAGTAATACATAGTTAAACAATAACAGGTACATGTACAATATCACTAATATAAGTATCCTTTTAATGGCATATACACGTACCAGACTATACTAATCAGAAAATACTTTCTGATAATACATATATAATTTGTTGACCAACTCCTTGAAACATCCTGACCAGCTCCTGCTGCATTATACAAGCTTACCTTACCTTTTATACAGTTTGTGACTCTTCTGATACAATCTGAATATCATGGCTGACCATGTCATTCTTGTCCAGTCCTATATAGCAAGGGTACCTGCTAAGAGCCTAAAGTACAGCTAAGGTGTAAGTATTGGCACACAATCCTTCAAGTTAATAGTTCCCCAAAATTGTTCTGAAACCTATCAATACATTCATTGTGTCTTTCCAAATCGACTATTCTGACTGCTAATGTCTCATAATCTTTCAAATGTTTCCTGAACCTTTCCAACGTTCATCATTAGGTACCCTTGCCCACCACAACTCCATAGCTGGTGTGTTACGCCGAAGGGCGGTTATACCGGCTATACAGATACAGAGTCGTAATTTTGTACAACATCTACATGCACATGTCATTTACAATATATAATCATTAGAACAACATGGCTAACAACCATGTAACTTATGCTAGTATCAGCTCTAGAAATGGAGATAAATTTCTTCATGGGTAATCTTTAAGTGACTTTAAAGTAAGAAAGGCACATACCCTAGATATCTCTTCCTACACTAGATGTATGTTTTAATATTGTGGAAAGTGTAAGTGAAGACTATGTAACGTTGACAGATACATCTGTTACACATATACTTCATGACACTGCAATAAAGTTTGGGAAAGTTCTTTTACAAGGTTTATACAGAACACTGTATTCAATCCTAAAGTTTACACTGATAACAGACTTTAAGTGTCAATGTGCCTCTCTCAATTACTGTATTCTTATTTCTTATGACACATATAGTTAATAGTACTAGATACATATTGTACTTAAAAAATGTTTTCACGGTTTTAAGTTTCTAGTTTCACAAATTTATAGTGACTATGTTTACATTATACAGTATATAGTGTTATTGCCTTTACTAGTAGAAGTGCATACAGTCTAGTAGTGTAGAAGAGTAGAAGTCTACACAGTCTAGTGCATGTATGTATGTGTTATATAGCAGAAGATAGGCATGTTATTTTTTCCTCCTGTCTATTCTAGTCTACTATGATACCTTCATGCATATGATGTGAGTTTCCTTACACTTACAGCTTAAGTGTTCTCTCTTCTACGATGTTTAACTTTGTTTTCTATTGAAGCGTTGTTCCGGTCAAATGTTCGCATATCACTTCAAGTTTCCACAAGAAGATAAACTACCATTGCACAGGAAAATAAGAAATCTATATCTTAACTTTATGTTAACATTTTGTCACATTTCACATAACTATTTTCTACCAGCACTTCTTTGAAGAACAACAAATACAACACAAATGTTTCAACATAAGTAACCCAAAGCATTGATGACAACAAAAAATACAGTAACAGATGAAAAATATACAACTCTGGAAACAGAAATGAAACATAGACGTGCAACATTTTCAGCTCCGTGTGCAAGCCTTTGTCAGTAAAGACTAGTATGTTTTCTGGTCAAGAAACAAATGATATGCCCAAAAGATTTTTTAATTGGATTTTTTCAAGTTCAGTTGACAAAGGCTGGCATTTGAACTTAAGACAGGTTCGGTAAAATCCATCTTATATAATGTCAAACAGATGCAATAAGTTATAATCTGTTACTTTTTTGCTAGTACAATTAAATTTTTTTCACCAAAAGGGAAAACGAACATGAATTAAATGTCTGGTTAGTAAAACGTTTGGACTTTTTTTCATGATACGTTTTTTTGTAGTCGTCTGTTTAACATACTGTTAGGTCTTCTTGGGTCAAGCCTTCCTTTCTGATTTCATGGATCAATCCATTTCAATACTAGGGGTGTCCAAGTTCTGAAAGGTTTTACTCGCCGCCACCTAGGTCAGCATGAAAGGGAAACACACACAAAAACACACCCGTATGTAGTAGAATCTTCCACTTTTAAACCATGCATTAAAGTCATTAATGACATTATCAGTAATGCAGTTTTTAGTCACACCTTTGGAAACAAATGCATGCAAACACTGTTTTTGTTCTACTGGGAGTAGAAAACCAAGTAAGTTTTGGTATTAATTCTGATTAAAAAGAAGGAAAAGTTAACTTCTAAATTTGAAGGGACATGCATATAATAGAAATAGGTTATGAAGTAATACAAAAATAGGAAATTGTACACCAGCAAATACACTTGCATGTACAACAGCGATTGTTCTTGAAAATGCTTTAAAAAATCACCCTAAACAAAATGAGTTACCTTCTACCCCGTACATCTAACTGCTCAGCATTGTATTAACATTGTGGAAAATGAACAAAGTATATAAATTAATAGGAAAAAAAACTCGGTATATTCTTGTATGTGGTTCAAGAAATGAGAGATCACCAATTGTAAGCTGTGCTGTCTTGCTTATAACTGACATTCTAATGTCTGTCATGTTCAGCGACCAGTGCTCACAGTACTTCAAAGCAGCAAAAGCATGTTGGCAGAACGTACTGTGCCTTTTGCAAAAAAAACTGGATTTTTCACAGTTTTCATATGATCAGCAAAACAGGATTCAGGGTCTCTAACAAGAGCAGGTGTAAAAAAAAACAAGCATGGTGATGTTGTGGTCGACCTCTTCAGATGGAGTGCGTTCTGCCGACATGCTAACAAAAGTTTTACTGTGGATCCAAGCAAACTCAACTCAACAAGAGCGGCTGTCCAAAAAAACGGGCATGGTGACGTTGTGGTCTAGCTTTTACCATGGATCCAACAAAACTCAACAAGAGTGGTGTTAAAAAAAGCAGGCGTGGCGACGTCTGGGCTCTAGTTACCTCTGCTGCCGACCAGCTGCAGGATGAAGAGGAAGATGTAGACGATGTCGAGGTACAGCTGCAGCGCGCCGGCGATGTACTCCTCCGGGCTCAGCTCGTGGCGCTTCCCGCCAACAACCAGCTGGGTGTCGTAGGCCAGGAACTGGGGGAGAAGGGAGTAAATTGAGTCAGCGCTCTAGCCTCCTCACCTCACCTCACCGGTCCCATAGCAGTCTGTACTGCCGTCGGGGCAACTAAACTGTCAACAAGACTCATCCACCCAGGGCGGTTCTCAGCTAGACTTGTCAGGTGACTCTGAGCCTGAGATTTTAATCTGTCATCTCAATTTTGTTTGAGGTAACATCATGTTAAGCGCCAAAGGTGCAACAATCTGAGGGGGTCTGGGGGCATGCTCCTCCGGGAAGTTTTGAAATCTTAACCCTCTGAAACTCTATTTCCTGCATTTTGAGGGACAAATGTTTCTGGTAGACACATTTAATTGCTGGTAGACTAGTTCATGACATGTCTTATCATACTCAAATGTTTCTTTACACCCTGATATTGCCTGTCAAAGATAATGGATTGGGCAGCGAAATTCTGGAAAGATGGACACTGGCTATAGAATACTGGAGTTCAGTATTTTCATGCACTTGCCCAATAGAACAGTCTTTAAAGATATAAAAAAATAATTTCCTGCTTTTGGCATAGAAAGTTGTATTTACATGTACTAATTGCCTAAATATACAAATGGGGCCGCTGTGGCAGATTGTTGTGTTGTTTCTCTTACCAGGGCAAACAGCAGAGCTCCCAGTCCAGCATACACAGTCTGCAGGATCTGTGGAATGAAAGGAACATGGATGTTCAAAACTTTCAATCCCGGGACTTGTGATCCAAATCTAGAGCATCACACATTGCTTTCCTCAAAAATCATTCTTAACGGTTTATATACAACATTTATTCTCAACTCAATTCACTCTGATGTTATTCTGTGTGTGCTCTATTATTCTTTAATTTTAATCTGACTTAGTGTTACAGTGTACATGTACATGTACAGTCACATACTTTCATAAGCCTATTATTATAATTACCAGATACATGTACATTGGGCAATCATAATATTGTCAACCCTGTCTGGGGCAGCCACTCTTCAGCAGCAGCCTCCGTCCCTTGAGTGGCATCTGAGCACAGGTTTGATTCTGTATCTGTATCTGTATCGGTATAGCCGGTATAACCGCCCTTCGGCGTAACACACCAGCTTCGCAGGCACACGGCGTGGCGGAATTCTATCATTACAATGCATCCGTAAGTTCTTAACTGACATCATGTAGACTAGGAATCGAACCCTGGACTTGTGATCCAGGATTTGCCAGGAGAGACCTACCGGCACCCATGGGAAGGTGATGAGAGCGATGAGGCCGAAGATGAAGAGAACCAGCACGCCCACAAACAGAAACCCGCCACAGCCAGTGAAGTCATACTGGGGAAAACAAATTACACATGTATAATTACTACTACTGTACTACTACTACATTGTAATGCTACATTGCACTACTATTGCTACTGCTTTGACTTCTCCTATTAGTTCAGTCACAGTAAATCAAATAGCTTCACATTTACGTCGGTGAAGGTTAGACATAGGTAATAAGATACGCCAAAAAAACAGTTAATCAAGCAACTGGATATGACTGTATCTAAAATCATATCCAGTTGCTTAAGTAACTTTTTTTGGGCGTAACTTGCCATTTACATGCATGCATATCATAATCAAAAGTCATGCAAAATCCAATTAAAAAGCTATGCATTTCTTTAGCAAAATGTGTGCAAAAGTTGTGCAATACAATTGTTACAATGTTCCCTACTACAGGAAACTGCAGGTCTGTTTCTCACCTTGGTCTGCATGGCAAAGAGGGACACTCCAAAACACACCAGCTGCAGGGAGACAGAGGGACAATAAGAATTCTATTTTGCCAATTAATTGTACAATTTTCAATGTAGGAACAAGTGACGTGCCTGTCATAATTACAAGTAGCACTAAATTATGATGCCCTGATGAAGATGACAGACAGTCATCAAAATACATGTATCTGCACATGTAAAATAAATGCTTGTTAGTAAAGACCTTTGCTGTTCCATTTCCTAAATTTTTATGAGAAGAAAGTTATTTGAGAAATACTTACGCAGGTGATGCCGACTGCCATCAGCACACTGTAGATGTCATAGTAGCTGTGAAAAACAATAACAAAATGTCAGAATAGTCCGGATCCACTATCTCACACGCTTGTGAGTTCCCTACTATACCTTTCCCTGTTGATGTTTGAACTGCAAAAAACAAAAATTCAAAAGAGCGCTGATTCTCACCTTGTTATTATTCCCACCATATAGGACATGGCCAGAGTCTGTGAAGAGGAAAATCAGGCAATTAGATGTTATAAATAAGAAATTTGTACCAATTCTCAACTTGCATACATGTTCATGTATATGGGTATGCCACCTGTACAACAAAGACTTCACGCCATCTTGGTGTCTTTTTTGGAGAGTTCTTGTCAATTTGTATTCATTCATAATTGTGAATTGTCCCTGATTCCTCTAGCTTGTTGGGAGACAATTTTGATCCCTAATTCTACCTGAGGTATCAATTCAATCATTTACTTTCCTGACAATCTGCAGTTACACTATTACCTCCACTTCCTGTATGTGACTCTGTTGTGTTCAAATACCGGTATATTATTGAAAACAAAACCTCAACAGTTAAAATGATCCATACTTACAAAGAGACTGAGCATGATGATGTTGGTGGGGTACTTGCGGCGCACGGTCGGGCAGCACACCAGCGCAAAGTACGTCACGATGAACACAGCACTGGGGAATAATACATACCCTGTTAAACACAGTGTAAACAAAAGCTACCTAACATGCAAATTTCATGACCTTTACATGTCCAGATTACAAGATATCAAAACCATATGATCTGCTGCAGTACCAAAATAAGATGCCAGGGGACCCAAAATCTATTAACAATCATTTCGAGCTCTCATCAAGACCTACCCACCTAAAAAATATCAAGCCTTCTCAAGCTACTGTGTTAACACACGGATGGACACACACACAAATGCTACCCAAAATATAAGCAAAAGTAACTTGCACATGTCATATTGAAAACGCTTCAAGCTAAGGAATTACATTATGTACTCCACAGTATGGAATTATCTTAGTAAAGAAATGAAGAGTGAAAGCATACTTACTATCCTGCCCAGTACAGGCCAGGGTTCTGACGAGCAAAATTGTGCACCTCTGGGCTGTAGACATACAAGAAAAATAAAACATACTACAAAAGTTAGAAAGTACATTGTACACCATATGTAGGCCAATTTCAGGACACAAGATACTACAACATTCCATCTCCTATTATCTGCCATTTCTTAGCACATTTTTGTCATCATTTCATACTTTATGGTCAACTGAATACCAACTCTAGCTTTTCACAGACCCTGATATAGCATCATTAACTCACACAAACTTGAAGATGCACACAAATCCAAAGGTCACCAGCAGCTGAGCAGTCAGTACCAGGTACACCTGAGGGAAAAAACAATAAAACAGAGAAAATGCATTTTAGCATAGTTATACTCATACATGTACAGTTAATACATACATTATACATATCATAATGCTGTCAAGCCTGCACCACTGTACTGTCAGTGACCACCTCGACATGTACATAAAGATAACCTAGCCATTGTGTTAAGACTTTTTGGTGGTCCATCTGTTTGGATATTGTTGCTGACTCAAGCATAAAGAATCCTGTTGAACCATGATATAGACCAGATTTATCAGTCCTCTCATTATACTGCATTGTTGATAGTGGATTAATTAAATCCTAAGTTTGACTGTTGGAACTGACCTTTTTGATGAACTGCCTGCGGATAGCCTTGTCGTTAAAAGCTGAGCTCGCAAAGTTCTCGTCGGACGAACCAGACGACTCGGGGTCCCGGACATGCGCCTCGGGTACCGTGTCGCTGTAGACGGTGTTGTACGCGCCCGGGACGGTCCCGTACGCGGTGGAGGGGGGCTGCTGGTACCCGCCCTGCGCAGGGGGGTAACCAGGCTGCATGGCGGGGAAACCACCCGCACCGGGCATACCACGTGGCATAACGGGGGGTGGGAAGGGTGCTCCTGGGAAAAAGTTATACAGGAAAACACTTGTTAGATGTGATTTTAAAGTTATGAATACGCTGGATGAAGGTTATATACGGTGTTCTATGCAGTGCCAATTTTTTTGTCGTCTCAATTTTGTTGGATATCACATCATGTCGAGGGGGTATGCTCTCCTTGGCAAATTTTTTAATCTTGACCCTCTGAGTCTGAGAATGCTTTTTCCTGCATTTTGAGGGAAATTTTGCTGGTACACTAAGCTTAATTCAATGGCATCTTTTGAAGATAAGTAACAGCTTCATCTACTCCACAAACAAATTTTCATGGTTTTAAACAATCATAGCCTTGGAAAGAAGTGATGAAGATGTCATGCCTAGCTATAGCTGGCTAATCTTATTCATCCGTTCATGATGACATACAATAACATACCTCCTGGTGCAGGGGGGAAGGGGGCCATGTTAGGTCCCATGCCAGGGGGTCCCATGCCAGGGGGTCCCATCACAGGGGGTCCCATGCCAGGGGGGTACGCTGGCTGGTCAGGTTTGCCATACCCCCCTGTGGTGGCATCTTCGTAGCTGGGCGGAGCTGGAACTGACATCCTGAAGGCTGCTCACAATTCTTCTCTCTAAAAACAGGACAGCTTTTTAGACGTTTCACAACACAGCTGACACACATACATAAAATGATAAATTGTAACATGCTTACAGAAATTTGTAGAATGTGTAATGATTAATTTGTAATGTAACTGTTGATTTTGACCCCAAATAAATGAGTACAGCTTCAGTATGTGCAGTGTTATCCCTACTCAGTACTATTCTTACACCTTCATGACCAAAACCAAGAATTTTCAAATCACAATGAAACTTGAAATTATTGGACTGGTATAAACAAGGACATTATACACATCTGTGTATAATGTCCTTGGTATAAAGGAGAATCTTCACAGATTGTTACAATGTATGTAGTACTGCTACTAAGCAGTTCCTCTTTCAGTTTCTAACTACAAGTATCATTATGACTCCACATCACATGACTATACTGGTAACATGACGTGGGGGAACCCCTGACAGAGAATAGGAAACTGTCTATGCTCTGATCATAAATAATGCATGATGGCTTGTTGATGTGTGCAATGGCAACCTGAGCAAATATCTTAATTCTTATGGCTTATGCCACTACAAAATAGAAAAGAGACACTCATGCCATGACTAAAAATGTTTTCTAGTATCAATCTAGTTTCATATTGCAAGTTATCATTTTTTTTCTTCCCTTGAAGTATGAAGTACAATACATTATCAGTAAATTAAAAAAAAGAGTACGGTACGTCTCTACATAAGATATACCATTGTATTTGTAAGGTAACACATTATTAAGCTTCATGCAAAATTGTATGCACACATTTTAGCCTGAGACAAGTGGGTATTGATGTGTGCATAATTATCCAGTCGACATGGCTGCCTGCCAGTGAAAACTGGTATGTTCCACCACAAGCCAATTTTACATGCACTGGCTAGCAACACGACGTATACAGGGTAACAAGTGGCTAAAATCCTGGAAGCAAGTCAGAGAAAGAAGATTACCTGTTTCCCCTTTTGACACTTTTCCTGTACACTTTTTTTTACATTATCTTTTTGCTGGAATTTCAGATTACTGCCAGCCAATAGAAACCCTGTCAAAAGGACCTGGGTAGGCCAACAACACTCCCAAAACTGTAAAAATACCAGCAAGTCAAAAAGTGGGTGACAGTTGGGTGATTTGCATACTAATGATTTGCATATCATATTATTATGTCTACAAATAATTTGTATGTACATAACGTAAACAAAAAAACAAACAGTGATTGCTCTTACAAGTTACAGTCTGGCTATTACTTATTAGGATAAAATATAAAAATTGTACAAAAATCATGATTCATGACCATTAGAAAGCGTAAAACAAATCTAAAGCAATACCTAGTCGTTTATGATCACTCGATCTCTCCAGAACCTGATGCAATTTCCAGAAAAATCTGGAATTACGCTTACGTGCGAGTCTGCAATTCTGACCAAAATCCAATATCAAGAGTTATGCAGAAAAATTTTTAACAAACGTATTTTCAAGAAGAGCAACAATCCCCTTTTGTTCAATGCACACATCATTTCTGAAATCTTCATATATTGTAATATATACAAATGCAGCTTGATCACACATACATTATAAAATACTGGTTAACATGTAATGTGTGTAAACAATTGTCAGACTGTCATATACTAAGACATATTATGTACTATAATGTAGGTCTACCTAAAATACTATATCAAGCTATGTAGTGGGACAAATTAAAGCATCTTCTAGCCTTAAAGCCTAAATTATCTTACCTCAATTGTCTTGTTTTGACGTCAGGCAACACATGAAAATGAGTAATCGAATTTCGCAATAATCATAAATTCACACCGTCAGGATTTGTTTTCTAGCAACGACATTGGTATATGACAAGGATCAAAAGATTTTACTGTTAATTCACGAGGTTAATGGTGAAATATTGGTGACAATATGGTAGATCTTTAGTAGGGGAAAATCGTAATTTTTCTGCAACGCCTAGAATATCTGTTCAACAAGGAAATGGCTACAGATAGCGGATCGCGTTCATCACAAAAACACGCCCTAAAACGATCAACAAAGGAAAATACAGGTGCTAGGAATGTAACTAAAGCCTTTAGCTAATTCTACAGCTACCTGCCAAGTCTCACCTGGTCAAATTAAGCCGTCCTAGTCGAAAATTTGATGGAGAAATCACGTAAAACGTCGATCACGACAAGACCCTTGATTCCCAAATGACGTCACGCGAACATCATCACATTTGAACTCTCGCGAGATCTGGCGAGAAACACCGTCAACATTTCACGTTGCAGTTAGAAATAGTCGCAAGAGGTCGCCTTTGAGAGGTGCAATGTTAATACTGCCTCATGTTGATTTGATTATATGGATGACATCCTCTGGGAACCCTAAAACTGATGCGCGCGTGCGAATAAAAAAAAGTTTGGCTAAAAAAAAAGTTGTTTTCATTATGAAATCTACGTGGTTTTCAAGGTTGAACAGATGGCACAGAGTATGGTTTGGCGAATAATCTAGTCTTCAAGTTCATTTCTTTATATTTTCGTCTTTTTTGGTTTGATTTTGGCATTCTAAGACAGTGGTATCCTTTTTTGCAACTTACGGTATGTCTTTGCTCATTTTGCAACTGTTTTGTACGATTTACAGTATGGTTGAAAACTTTTTTTTTTTTTGGAAACGGCCGAAAATTCATGCGCGCGCGGATGTCATCCATATAATCAAATCAACATGGCCTTACCGAGCCAAAAAAAAGACATAAAGAAAATATTACTTTTTGTAGTTTTAAAGCTTAAGCTTGAGCTCTATACTTGACTGATATACAATATCATGATATTCCATTTTACAAATGTTGAAGTGTCTAGCAGAACTAGCACGAAACAGAGGCACTTGTTTGACTGATGTAAGAAATTACAAGACATATTTGCTCCCTTAAAATTTGAAATAAAGTAATAATAACATTATTCTAATTTTCTTCCAGTTCTAATTCTCACTGTGAAGCAAGGTCCTTCGACAGTTACAGAGTAGTACTAGTAAAATTTTGATAAAAGGAATTAATTTATATCCAACCCGTATGCTGTCTTTGATAAATTCAGAACAAGTCCGGAACAGTTCACATCCTTGTATTAATGTCCTTGCTTATATACATCAGCCGCGGAACCAAACTTGGCGTACAACCTTCCGTTGTCAAGGTAACCATTACATCACTTCCGGTGCGCTAACAGTCACGTGTGCACATCCGGTGAGGGGCGTCTGCCGGACGTCGATAATGTGGTCCGATTTGAGGCTCACCGTGGGCCTAATAAAATCAATTATAAGTTCTAGTTCTAGTTCTATACAATACTAAGCAATACCCCTCGCGGGGTCTAGTGCTTAGGGAAGTGGTCGTTCCCCAGCGTGACCGGTGGTGGTGGTGAGGAAAAAATAACAACAAAGTTCAATTTATCTACAAGGGTTTTATGCTGATTCACTTAACTGTTATAGAAAATAAGATCCATACTAACCTAATCTTAATCTATGAAAAACTCCATATAATGAAACAAAATATGGTAAATTGAATATTATGTTTTAGGTAAATATATCAACATTGTGTTAAGTTGAAATTCATCGATGTAACATTAGGTAAAAACACAGTACAGCATGCATTAGTTGTTAAATACACAAAAGGGACATTTAATCTAGATCTTTCCCACCCTGCAAAATCTTATACATCGAAGAAACAACTTTAAAGTTGTCGCCAATATCACAACTTCACCATAATTCAGTGATTGATTAAATCTCATTCTTTCTAATCATTTTGAAATTTTGTGAACAACTTGCAATTGACGTGAAACAAAGAACTAGAACGGGCACATTTCCCTACAGAGACCACCTTACAACGCCAGTTTCTACTGGGTGTTAATTGGACATTATCCAGACCACGACTTAAAATGTTCGCAGTAGTGATGAACGTCTGGAAGGGGCTTACAGCCTGCTTTATGGTGGTGTGCAGTTTTATAATTCTCTCGGACGGCGTTCCTGTAAACAGTGAGAAGACTGGTAACAATCTACAAGCCACGGTGAGTAGTAATGATTTCTATTTAGACCAACGGCAGAAGATGGCGGCCGTAGATTTGGACCTTTGGAGCGTTTTGCCTTGGCTAGTCAAATCCTAACTTTCACTCATATAACAAACTTTTTGATTACCGAACAAATGAAAGTTTGTACGCGTCTGTGAGATTAAACGACATAATGAGGGATTGAACTTACAATACACAAAAGCGGATATATATAATCTTCTGTCAGTTTTTAGCCTTTTTCAATGTCAAGTGTTAAACATGTAGTTCAAACATGTTGAAAGAGGTCAAAACATCTAATAAGTATATTTTCATTTGTGTTGGAGCTCAAGTTTGCAAAGCGAAAAAGGCCGAATTAGTAGTGGAATAATTAGTTAATTAGAGCATGCAGTTCACAAATCTGCCTCCAGAGGCGCTGCTGTACTGTGCAGAGGATGACCACAAACAATTAAATAGACGAAATTTATGGTATAAATTTTCGACTTTCAAATGTTGGTGGTTGATTGAATTGTACTGTCTCGATTGTTTTATTTCGTTATGAATAAAAATTATAGTTCTTAGGCGGTTTCCGTCCGCCATAGACGACTTTATGTCCTAATATGGCCACATAAAAGGCCTTGCACCAGCGGAAGTAAAAATCATAACAAAAACCGTGCTACAGAACGTCTGGAGCCGTTTTCTGTAGAAGTCCTGAGGAAAGACAAAAGTCGTAAAAGAATAGAACTCAGACTTCTACTACGAGGGTTACTTCCCGTCTGTGATATTAACCTGTTCATGGTAAAGAAAAATATTTAACATATAATAGCAAAGAAATACTTTTAAGTATTTCTTTGCTATTAAATATTGTCCTACATGGGCATGTATTGTACCATATTGACTACCCTTGAAGGTCAAAGATAAACTCCAAGGTCAGAAAGATGAAGTTCAAGGTTAAACAGATAAGTTTGCATTGTTTTGTGGCAGTGAAGTTTTTTTATAGGATTTTCTGATTTTGAAGATGAGTTATGTCATGGGTTTTAAAACTATTAGAACCTTGCGACAAATCTGTTATCTTTATTATTTTCTACTTTGTTTCTTACAGACATGGCTTGTAAAATACGGCTATGTTTCACAAGAGAACCTCGACATCTCAGAGAGAGGGCCAGGGCGTTTGAAAAACGGAACAGAAGTCTTACTCCCGCCACCTGACTTTAACCTGACCGCCGCCATTGTGAAGATGCAGAAGAATTATGGGATACCTGTCACCGGAAAAATGGACAACGCCACCAGACACATAATGCGCATGCCTAGGTTTGTTCGTCTTTTCTTAAATTCTATAACGGAATGCGTTTTGACAACATTATTATATGTACGTGTGAGGAAACACTCAAAAGCTTACCAAGACATTGTCATCGTAAACTGTGTCATTATATCGTAATTTTTAGGAGATTCACCCTTGGCAACAGAAAAATACATTTTTGTGGCTTATTGCAATTTTTCGGCCCACTATCATACCACCGGCAAATCTACTTGGAGAGTACCATAATCACTATATATTGACTTTCCATTGGTATAAATGTGTTTAAAATCTATAGTAGAAACTTGCTTTTCCTGTGTATATTAGATTAATATCTCTATGCCTACTCCCATCTCAGGTGTTCTGTGAAGGACCCGGCAGACTGGCTCTCTGTGGATGTGGCGCCGTATGTTCTCTCAGGAACCAAGTGGCACAAATTCCACATCACGTATAAGTGCGTATACTTTCTTCTCATTGTGCATCAGCTGCCAAAATCCAATATGGCTTTGTTTATTCTTAATGAAACACATTCAAACATTATGGTGACCAGCCTTTCCAACTCCGTCCTGCCACTTGCTACATACTGTAATCTAACACCACATGGTTTCTGCTACAGCACCAGTTACCATGGTGACACTGCCGCGGCCGTCTGGTCCAGGCCATTGACCTTATTTCTTTCAACGGAAGAAGACGAAACATAGCGAAAAACAATATGTTTCCTACGGCAAAGGTAAATGTGCATGTAATGACAGATAATTTTCTTTTACGAAGGATAACCGAGTACACGCCTCGGCTGAGCCGATCAGAGGTCCGCAGGATCATGCACGACGCGTTCCAGATCTGGAGCGACTACACGCCGCTGGACTTCACGGAAGTGACGTCAGGAAATGCGGATATGCTGATCGCCTTCCCGCGGTGGGACCACCAGGACGGCACTCCTTTTGACGGGCGATGGGATCCCAAGTATGTTCATCTCATAATTATTTATTCACTTATTGGTGATGATGATGATTATTGGTTTATTCATTTATTTGTCTTTTTCAATCCGTACAGCCAGGGCTGCCCGACTAGCCTGTGATCATTGCAATGGGCTAGCCCTCCTGACAAAGACAAGACATTAAAATGGAATTTTACATGGATAACATAAGAATCTATAACACTCAGACGGTTCGTTGTTTTATCGATGGAAGTTAAATACATGCAACGTGACCATAAAACAACAAGTACACTGTGTTAACGGTTTGTTTCTTTTTTGCCTCCTTCTTCACTATATGCTGATCTAGATGTGTATCAGAAATATTGACAAAAATAATTGTATGATTTTTTTTTCAGTCGAGGAACGGGTCTTGGTCTCGCGCATGCGTTCATGCCACCCAGTTCCGAGCGCATCGCAAAGAAGTATGGGATAGATGGCGACACCCACTTTGACGGAGACGAGCTATGGACGACGGGAACGCATCGTGGTATTGTAGTCTTTGTTACTCCTCCTTCTAGCTGCGAGTCATAAGATCATGGTTTAGTAGTGTACCTTCTTCTGTAAGCTGAGCTCAGAAGTTTTGACATCCAGGTAATAAGAAACACTGGAACTGTCTGTCAAGCAACTGGATAGATTTTGAAGACGTTAGACGTTTGTTAGACGTTTTGTTACACGTTTTAAGTAGCATCCACACTGTCTTTATCCCACTAGTTATCAATTTTTTTTTTACTTCCCCGTTCCCGGAAAGGCGTTGACCTTCTGCAGGTCGCCACGCACGAGTTCGGGCACGCCCTTGGCCTTGGCCACACCCTGGTTCCGGGAACCATCATGTACCCAGCCTACATTTACAAGGACAAGTACTGCATCCACCCGGACGACCTGCAGGGGATACAGGCTATGTATGGTGAGTTTTGGTAGCCTCTACCAGGCTTCAGAATCTACATGTAGTTAAAGACCTTACGAAAGAAAGTCGCTGTACTTTTTTTATGTTGTGTCAATAAAGTTCTTTTTAAGAAGTGGCTGGAAAGAGTAGAAATTGGTCAAATAGATATAACATGCCAGGGGAGTTAGTCCGCTAAAGGAGTACATTGCCTCTTCATAACGTATTCCGTCAGTGGACAAAGTCTCCTGTAGTCCTGGCTTGTCATCTGTCGTCTATTTGGCCCATTTCTACTCTTTCCAGCCGTTTTTGAAGCCTGGTAGAGGCTAGATATAGGTTTTGGTTCAGCGGTCATTCAGCAACCCTTTTTCTAAACCACCAGGTCGAGATTTCGCTGCTTTTTTTGCAAGAAAATACGCATCACCTTACGTGCATTGTAGTGCATCTGGACCAAGCGGCTTGAGGTTCAGACCCTTTCAGTCATGTTTGACCAATGACTGAAGCCATGCGTGTTCAAAAGAAATTCATCATAGGAAGGGCGTTTGAACCAGTAGACATTTGGTGATTTTGTTAGCGTTAAGACATGCTTCAGTCTACAACACTGTTTAATAGAGTTTATTCATTTATCCAGGTTCCAGGAAAAGCAAGAACCCGCTGATACCAGTCTGCTCTCTGTTGCCGGAGAAATGCCATGATTCAAAGTACGATGCCGTGTTACAGTTCCGAGGGGACACATATTTTATCCAGGTACAGTTGGCTACTGTATTATTTTGGTAATTAGTATGTTAAGATTTAGTCTGTACCCTTTTTTTAATTATGTTCAATAGTTGTTGCCATACATGTACGATTATCGTGTAATAATGTTCTTCGTCCATAGTGTAACTAACGGTACAACTTTATGGCCATGGGTCGCCCTATTTTTTTTTATTTGTTCCAACATGTAATCACCAGACGCGGTGACGACACACTCAAGTTTTTTCAACTTATATTAATGCCGCCACCAACACAGGGGACAAATACATGACAGGACAATACTCATTTACACATGAGCTAAGTGAGGAAAGTCGTGTTAAGTGCCTTTCCCAAGGGCACAAGATCGGTGGCATGTCAGGACTCGAACCCGGGACTCTTAGTCCCGAGTCGCGCACTCTGCCGCTACGCCACACGACCCCATTTTATATCGCCCTATTTTATAACACAGTACCTGTCAAATTGTATCGGATTCCATAATATCCATTAAGTCCGATTTACTTTGAAATCCAAATGTAGGGAGTGAAGTATTTCCGTAGACAGAGCCACCAGGTGCAAGGGCCGATCCTCCTCACCAAGATGTGGACTCACCTGCCGGACAAGATAGACGCCGGGTACGAGAGGAAGGACGGCTTCGTCTTCTTCTTCGGAGGTTCGTCACCAGTACTTTTTTTTATTCCAACATGTAATCACCAGACGTGGTGACGACACACTCAAGTTTCTTCAATTTCTATTAATGCCGCCACCAACACAGGGGACAAATACATGACAGGACAATACTCATTTACACCTGAGCTAAGTGAGGAAAGCCGTGTTAAGTGCCTTTCCCAAGGGTACAAGATCGGTGGCATGTCAGGACTCGAACCCGGGACTCTAAGTTCCGAGTCGCGTACTCTGCCGCTACGCCATACGACCCCACAGTATTTTATTTATTTATTTATTTATTTTATTCACAAAGTGCAATTTGTGAGCACTGGACAGAAAGCACGTAATGTGCTTACATTACAAAGATACAAACATAAATACAAGGTTGTATATCGAATTTGAGGTAAATTTGCATCAAATCTGATTCTCAACCACACCCCGAACACTGCTGACCCACTCCCAGACACCAGCCAACCACCACCTAACCTCCCGTCTACAACCGAATTTATTTTAAAATTTTGTTTATTCAGGGTCCAAGTACTGGAAATACAATGGTCGCCAGCTGGAACCGGGATACCCAAGGTACATCTCGACAGACTTCGGGTTGCCTAGCGACCTGGATGCGGCATTGCCATGGCAACCGACAGGGAAAACATATTTCTTCAAGGTAAGCGAGACACAGTGAAGAAAGGAAACTGAAGTGATGTGACCACGTGTCACGATCATGACACTAAGTAAAACATTTCTAAGAGGAACAGACAACCAAGAAGGGTGGGAAAAACTAGTTGCCAGATCATCTGCCGCAACGGTCGAATTATTAGACTGAGGGATAGATGAGATGAGATGAGAGAAGCAAGACAACAAATCAAAGACGCAAATATGTTCTATGCGGCAAGACAAGTTTACTTTAGTTAGCTTTCCACTCATTACTATGACACTCTGTCAGTGTCTGTACATACATGTCTGTCTGGTCCAATCTCTTTTCCTTTTTGTTTACTTAAACATTCATACATGTAGATAAACATAAACGTTCTGCCTCTTCACAGGGCGAAAGGTACTGGCGTTTCGACGAAGAGACGGGCCGGATAGACGACGGCTATCCCCGTCCCATCTCCGTCTGGAAGGGCGTGCCCAACCATGTGGACGCCGCAACGCAGTACATTGATGATGGTAAAAATTGCATTACGATTAGAACGATTCACTATTGTATATCCAGAACCGCGCCTATCTAGTTCTATGCCTGGATGGGCTAGGGGTAGGATCAGGCACGGTTCTGAATAGTCTCTATTGTTTCTAGAACCGTGCCTATCTAATTCTATGCCTGAAAGGGTTAGGGTTAATGGACTAGGGGTAGGATTAGGCCCGGTTCTGGATAGCCTACGCGTATTCTCCGCGGTTCTGGATACGCTTGGACTATCCAGAACCGTGCCTGGGCATGGCTCTTGATAAAGCACTGTTCTGGTCACTAAATATTCACAGTTTGTTTTGTCAACGAAGACACAATATTCACTGAAGACACCAAGGCTCTATTTAGGTTCATGTACTGAGAACATCCACAGCTTCTATTAAACATCTAGTATTACATGTGTTAAAACAGTAACATACAACATGCGTTGAAACAGAATAACTGCAATGCCGATTTTGCCCACCACAGATAGCGTCTATTTCTTCAAGGGGCGGCGTTACTACAAGTACAGCGAGAAAGCTCTCCTGGTGCTTCCTGGGTACCCAAAATACACCGCGGAATACTGGATGGACTGTCCGCCGCAGTCCCCGGATGAAGAGGACGATGACGACATCTACATCCCGCTCCAGCCCCAGCCCACACGCCTGTATTACCGGTCGGCTGGGCCCCACACTTTGCCGTCAATGACTCTCATGTCTTTTGCATTGTGTTTAACACTTTTCACAGCATCTACTAGTATATCTTCGAAATAACAATAGGACAAAACCTGATATATATTAATATTATCATGAAAGTTCATCTGTGTTTTTAGTAATCATAGTAAAATGTTGAACTTTATTCCAACACACAAATTATATAGAGATCAAATTTTCAGCGACCACTGTCGCCTTCATCAGGATAATTAATGACCAATCACTTCAAAACGTAATCTCGCGAGAGTTACGTTTACAAACACGTGACCTTATTCACACGAAACTTTACTGATACGTGACGTAAGCAAATTCAGTATAATTTGTGTGTTGGGATGAAGTTCAACGTTTTACTATATTAATATTAGTATGAATCTATATTGCACATTCCTGCTCAGATGGGCTAAATGCACATGTGACCAGATGTGGTCTACAGGATATAAAACATGGAGTATTAATATTGAATGCAGAACCGCGCTACATTCTAAAGCTAAGTGCTAAAAGTCTATATATCATTACAACAATACTATATACTACTTACATGTACCATCTACTGATATACTAGTAGGTAATCATCACGTCATGTCTTGTAAACTTTGAAGATTTTTTTCGCATTTGTACATGTATGCAGGTTAGGCCACACCAAGTAAATTTTATGGATGACGTCCTTTGGAGACCCTAAATCTAATGCGAGAGGGCGAAAAAAAAACAAGAAGGGCCCTAAAAACAAGATGCCTAGATTAGAAATATACTAAGAGATGACAAATGTTAGGACACATATTGAATGAGGTGACACAGTGTAACAAGCAAGAAGTCTTTTATTCATCATCAAAACAGCAATAAATCAGGTGGAACATCCTGTCCTGTGTCCCGTTACGGGTTTCACGTCAATCTGACGATTTGCGGCACTGTCGTGACTCTTTGGTCATAGTTACAGGAAGCGGAATTTCTTTTTTTTTTTCAAGGAACAGGCCAAAATCAATGCGCGCGCGGACGTCATCCATAAAATTTACTTGGTGTGGCCTTATAAGATAGTGGTGATCAGAGTCTCTTATACCTACCTCGGTAGGGATCTGGATTATTCAACATTGACGATCTAGATCTATTCACTGCACACAGTTCAAGATCAAATCGTGAATTAAATAATATAAGCACTGTCATGGTAAGGGAATACATGAGAACTAGGCTTAGCACAGACATACGGACTTATACAACATATAACTGTTACATATGCATACAACTGCATGCACATGATGCTATTAGTACCGTTTTAACATTCTCTGTCACTTGTAAAGTCATGCTATATTTTCACATGAAGCCGAAGCCAACATGGGATGTAACATATAGAGGATGCAAGACTATTTCATAATACAGAATGCATCTTCCATTTCATTTGTTTACGACTCCTTATGGTTTTGAATTAGATGCTTGAGATTAAGGTAATTAGTTTGGTGGACCCAAAACATGTCAGTTCATTCTTCTGTAACTAGTCACAGTAATAGGAAAACGTGTATGTTTGCATCAAAGTTGGTGCATCCGTATACAACAATCAGCCACGTACAGAACAGGCCATGAACTATCATTATATAGTAACATGGATCACTACGTTTTACAAGCTTGTACTGATCTCTTGTGTTTTGAATTCCCTGTCTACTATTAACAGTTACTGTCTCCGGTGGTCCCAAAGAACCCAAAAGGCCATAATCTGCTAACCCTCTAAACTCCATTAGTGGACGTATATTGAGATTGATTTTTTCAGACTCTAGAACTCAGCATACTGTTACCTAATATATATTTCATTCTTTTACTTTGCTTTGACAAGAAATTAAAAGAATTGTCTCATTATAACTATATGTTGCATGCAAAATGGCGCAGGTTAAGTTGATAAAATGCTTGTTCAGACTCATTGATCATTGCAATATGACTGGGATGTGAGAGATTGTAAATTTGAATTACTGAGTTTTGTAGCCATTTCGTCTTCCAGTTGGGAAACTTTAATCGGATTTGGTAAAGCCTACAAATCACCACCTGCTAATCTTCCGTTTATTGAGTTTATCACAGACATGTAGGATTTGTAAATATTGTTCCTCAAAATGTAGAACTAGTGGAAGAATCATCTCTAATTGTTCATTTTATATCAGAACCCAATTCTTTAACACGGTGACCGTGTCCAAAATGCACCGTGACTGGCACTATTCCCCAGAAACAATTTTATTACTAAAATCAAAGAATCCTCATATCATAGACGATGTGGGTAATTTCGTCTCCCACTGTCTCAAAAGAAGACGTCAAACCCGACAAAACTAGTGCCACGTATGTTGTAGAATGTGTATAACTTTGCACATAGTCTCATATCATTGTATTCTCTCCTTCAAACACGTTGTTTGTATTTGCACTTAGCCTTCGGGCATGTAGCTGCAATTAACTTTCTATATTCCCTCCCCTCTGTTGTCTAGTACTGTCCCAGTGTTTCGTCCTGGCGAGGAGCTGGATTCTGTCTCCGTCGTCTTCCCGCGAGCTGGCGTTGCTCCCTGGCGATTTTTCGAGACGAATGTCCGTTGAGTTAATCGCGTGGTTGTTGTACCCGACTGGTACCTCGAGCCCCTCCCTTTGTCGGCCCCACGGCCGCAGCAGAGGGCCTTCTTCATGTAGACGCGGAACTTGTCTCCCAGGAGAGCGTACAGAAAGGGGTTGATCATGGAGTTGATGGAGGATAACATGCCCACGAACAGCTCCAGTGGATCTTCTAAAAAATGATCATTTAACCAAGGAGGTTAGAAAGGGGGAGAGGGGGGGAGAGAGAGAGAGAGAGAGACTCCCACGAAAATCTCCAATTTGATCATGTTGACCTGAAGACAATAGAGTCGTTTTGAATATCACAGGGAAGGCAGTTGGTTGTCATTCACTTTACACGAAATTATATATAAAGATTATAAGGACCAAGCTTACCATAAGGAAGGCTGTACAGCTCGAAGTAATATTTGACCAGATACACGATGTGAATCGGCATCCAGGAGACGATGAACACGGCCACTACAACTGTCACCATCCTCGTGACGCGGTTTCGGGACTTCTCTGTCGTCTTGGACGAACTAGCCGGGACGACATCGCTGTGGCGCAGTTTGTAGTACAACCTGGCGTAAACTGGCACCAGGATGGCCAGGGGCAAGATGCACCACGTTACGAACCGATAGACCAAGATTCCTTTCAAGTAATCGTCATACTTTACATTTATAATACTTGACGGATCTGAAGAACAGCGTTTAAATTGGTTCTCATTAGTTTTGACCTTTGAAAAGGCGATGATGTGGATTGTGAATATGAGGGAAACCAGCCAAAGACCTGCGCTGATGAGCCACGTTCGCTTCTTGGAGCTCTGCTGATGGTGTTTGATCGGGTTAGCTACAGCCTGGTAACGCTCTATGCTCATAGCTATCATGAACAGAATACTAGCATTACCACAGATGCCGTATAACGCCCGAGTTATAGCACACACTGCCTGTCCAAATATCCAACCACTTTTTGGTAAAAAAAATTGAGCGTTCCAGATAGGGACAAACTCGCAACAGTACAGGAGGTCGGCAACAGCAATGTTCAAAACAAACACGTTGGGGACAGTTCTCATCTCGCGATATCTCGCGATAACAAAGATGACCAGGGAATTTGCTAGAGTTCCGATGGCAGCGAGAACGAGCTCTACAAAGACTGGAATCGTCACAGCGGTCACGCCGTTGTCAACAATGGTGCTGTTTTCAGTTGAAGACGTCTCCGTCGTGAAGTTGCTTGAGTTGGTAGAAGACACGAGTGTCCAGTTTGCCAGGAAGTCTTCACTTGGGTCCAAAGAGACATTACCGCCGTTTGCTGACATTGTTCTACGAAAACAACAGATTCGAATAAGACATTTCCTGCCCATTTTGACTGAACACTCCTACTGCGCTGCGAGAACCATTTTGCATCTTAGCTCAATTCAAAGATATACATAGTATCGGTCTTCCTGATGTTTGTATAAAAAAGGGTGATCCGGTTGTCCTTCTATATCAAACTGGTGTAGTTGCATGTATAAATACTTCTGTATGAGTAGATAATGAAATTCATGATTGTATAAATATATATTAACCCTTTCATCATAAGCTATATTTGTATGGAAAACGTAGATAAAAATTGTTTAATAATTCTCTCCGTTCTCGCAAAACATAAGACGCAAATGCCAACTGGAGATGGAACTAATATGAGAAAAACGGAAAATAAATCTGACCCAAATCATCGATTTTAGTAATACCCTGACACGGATATTTCATTTCTCATGAATAGATTATGACATCGTCAAGCAAAATTGATCTTTTGAGAGATATTATGACATGTTTATCTTATTAGCTAATATACCCATTAGTCAATCAAATTATGTTGTGTACCTTTTACTCTCTTAATGGAATTATAGTCACTGGGCATATCGTACACTACAAGAAAATCGCACGTTATGTTCGAAATTCCATCGCAAAGCAGTCAACAAAATACTTTGTGATAGAAATTATAAGTTACATTGTAAAACCATACAGTAACCATAGAGGGAATCCTGAAAATCAGCATGTTGTTTGCCTTATTTAGAAAGAACGATACGACCCAACCTTTCCTAATCTTCAGCCGTTAAATTCTTTGTGAAAACAAAGTGTACCAAAAAATTAAGAAATCAAACGTCTGCAAATTGAAAAAATAATTTCTTTCTTTCTTAGCTGAGAGAGCACGTTTGCTGAGAGGGAAATAGTAATACAGACGCTAGCACGATACAATAATATCAGTACAACACAATAGATAAGAAAAAACCTTACCTGTTTTGGTTGCGCGCTAGCTCTTTACTGTTCTGCACTGTCGGCTCGAGGGAAGTCTAGAGAAGCACACGTACGTCTCTGGTTGCCGCTCTTATCTTCCGCGATGTTAATTGTCCCGTGTAGATTCGCCGTGTTCTGTCCTTATATGGAGACTCCTTTTCCCTCTCGCAAAGCCCTCCCAAGACCATCGTCATACGTCTACGTCATCTGTGTCATGGGGCGTGACGTGTGATACTTTATTGACACCCACCAACTACTTTGTCACACTGTAATGAATTTGATTCTGACGCATCTGTTGCATTGCCATCGCAAGAAATGTTGTGAGAGAAAGGCTTATATCAAGCATATGTCAATGTTGAAAATTCATGCTTTTAGGGTTCTGGTATCCCTTTAAAGTATTTTTCTTTCACATAAAGTCCAATCAGTTTCCTTTTAATCCGATCATGGGTTGTACACCTACTCATCATACCGTCCCTGTGCGTCTCTAACAGGAAATGGGTCTCATGGGGCTCTGGAGTTGTGTACATCAAGATAATGGAAGCACCTACGTGCCTACTTGAGCGCAACACGGTTCACTCCAGTGTTTTGTTATCGACTGAATTGGCCTCAAGAGACATCCTTAAGTTTGGAAGCGTTAACCTCTTCGAGGATCTTAAAGAACATGGAATTCTTTGTGCTTTGAGCAAACCAGACACCCTTAAGTTCGAGACATTATAACCTCTTTGAGGCTCTTAAAGAGCGTGATATTCTTAAGATCGAAACATTAACCTCTTTGAGGATCTTAAAGAACATGGGATTCTTTAGTGCTTTAAGTAAACTAGGATGTCCTCACGTAAAACGGTCATGAGAGGCGGTTGGGGACATTTTAGAATAGGTCGGGATCCATTAAAGCTTTCAACCACCCCTCCTCTGAGACCTTGAAATGAATTAGCTCCTAGATGTTGACATAGATCAAACGAAATCCCTCTCCTCATGCTCAGTAAAATGGATGACTTTGTGATCATGAGCTCGCATCATACGCTAGGTATTATTACCCACTGCGCCAAAATTAATAATGGGAACTATCTGCGTATATTCATGATATAAGTTGTTGATTTTTCGTTAATCGAAACAGCCCGGTCGGGCCCCGGTTTGGAAATGTGACCTCGGCATTAAACAGAACAGGCCATGAACTACCATTATATAGTAACATGGATCGTAATGTTTCCAAGCTTGCACTGATCTCTTGTGCTTTGAGTTCCCTGTCTACTATCAAAAGTTACTGTCTCCGGCGGTCCCAAAGAACCCAAAAGGCCATAATCTGCTTACCCTCTAAACTCCATTAGTGGACGTATATTGAAATAGATGTTTTCAGAGTCTAGAACTCACCATACTGTTACCTATATATGCCATTTTTTTTACTTTGCTTTGACAAGCAATTAATATACTAATCCCATCATAACTATATGTTGCATGCAAAATGGCGCAGGTTAAGTTGATAAAATGCTTGTTCAGACATATTGACCATTGCAATATCGTTAGGATGTGAGATATTGTAAACTTGAATTACTGGGTTTTGTAGCCATTTCGTCCTCCAGTTGGGAAACTTTAATCGGATTTGGTAAAGCCTACAAATTACCACCTGCTAATCTTCCGTTTATTGAGCTTATCACAGACACGTAGGGGACAATTTCACTTCACTAGTCGTGCTTTTAATCAGATTTGTACCGTGGGGAAATATGCATCACAACACCCGGACATGCTTGAGTAAGCTGTTTCACCGATGCACCTTATCTTTTGCCAAAGAAAACTTGATCTTTTGGACGACATCCCTAGGAGACCTCGAATATTTTATATGAAGGTACGAGAAATTGACATATCTTGATTGTTTTGCATCCTATCTTAATACATGCAGTAAATCCCCGAGTCATTAAAGGGTAGGTAAGGTGTCAACAAATTGCTTTTGGTTCAACCTAGGTTACAAAGGTGCCAACATGTTAACGATCTAGCTGATGGACTGAGACGTTAGGTCGAATTTAAAAGGAACGAAAACGCATCCCTTGATAGGGAGCATCTCCATTTTTCATTAGCCGATGTTACTATAGTGTCAGGTAATGCATCTAGGTGTAACCTCATAGGATGGGCTTCTGTAGATATGAAAGGAAATGTCTACTTCTTGCAACTATGTCATCTAACATGTTATAAACCACACACACACACACACACACACACACACACACACACACACACACACACACACACACACACACACACACACACACACACACACACACACACACACACAAACAAACACACACACACACACAAACACACCCACCATTGTTCTCGATGTGCGTCCTGTAGATAATATACACACAAACCACGCCTCTTGCTAATACTATCTGTGGGTGGTTCATGAGCTTCCACCAGTCCAACAGGTTGCAAGGAAGAGTCCACTCAATTACTTTTGTGGGGGAAAGCATTGAAAGGCATTTTTTCAGAAGTACTACTAGTATTACATTTGAGTACAAAAGTACTTGAATGTGTGCAAAGTTTATAACTATAAGAGGGATATTCTAGAAGGTTGGCCGACATAAAGTAAATAAATTTGAGTTCAATTGTTGTGACCATGTATCTTGTATTCAAACCCTCATGTGAATGCCATTGACATGTTGTTAGACAGGTCTGTGGCAGTTTGAGCCACTCTACAGTAGTCACCACCATGATGATTCGACTGGCCATCCTGTTGTGTATGGTGGTGAGGTAAGAAGTTTGATTTCATTTGATGTCATTTCTTGAGAGTCCTTCCGAAATTATCTTTCATATGCTATTAATCCTTTTCATGAAATAAATCGTATGTCGGAATATGCATGTTAAACTATGTTTTATGTCCTTCATGCTGATAGCTTAGGCATATACCTGGCTAAAAAAGTAATACAATTGTTTTCAACTCCAAAACTAGAGTTCCGCGATCTCATATATTCGCTAAATGATGTTAACCTTTACGACTAATTAATCATAACTGTTTCTCATTGATTATGCAAAAAAGATCCTCAATTTATCATATTCTCTACACATTACGAAGACTAACTTTATGGTCTAGTAATACATGTATAGCAAATATTTCATCAAGCAATGTACTTCATCATGTATATCGTCTGTTGATAAAATCACATTTAAACAAAACATGTACGGATCCATGTTGAACCCAAATAGTTGCCACTCCCTTTCCTGTACCCCGTGTCACGCCACCCGATGCCAGGCGCCTGAAAACTGCCCCGGGGGCATCGTCAAGGGAGTGTGTGGGTGCTGTGACGTGTGTGCAAAGGTAAGACATCAACACAACAGCGCTACCTATTGTTTTACAGTATACTACAGGCTTGCATACGTTGACAAATCTAACGTTGCCGTACTCCTGTTTCTAAAACAGTGCCTATCTAGTTCTATGCTTAAATGGGTTAGGGTCAGGCTTGGGCACGGTCCTGGATACTAGTATTCTCCGCGTATCCAAGAACGTAGATTTGCCCAGGTATGAGTGAGTGAGTGAAGGCCAGTGAACGCGTGGGCTATCCAAAACCGCGCAAGAGCTTCGTTCTTGATTTGCAAACTGACCTTTAAGTTTGAAAAAAAATATCACGCATCTTTGTCCAAACACAGGTTAAAGGGGAAGATTGTGGCGGTCCATGGAACATCGCGGGAGTCTGTGACGAGGGACTCATTTGTGACAAGCCTGATGATGATTTTAACTCCCACGGAACCTGTGAAGAGAAGGAGTCTTCTTCTGCAGGTATACCTGTAGACTTTGCATAGCGCTGATTATGGGTGGATGGTATGTGGGGGAATTCAGGAGGTGATGTAAATGCCATGAAATGATGCCAGCTGTTTTATTACAAGGGACAACTGAGAAAAGGAATCTTGAGAGTTCATCTGCGATGGTAGCTGTCACTTTAAGTTATGAAATAAGTTCAAACTGTAATTTCCAACACAAGAAATTTGACCCAAATTTTCGACTGTAGAACTCAATTTTTTGTCAAGGAATTAATGCAACAATCCGCTGCTTCTATGACATTTTTTTTGTTTCTTACCACCAGATTGTGGAGAAAACGCGCACTTCGATGCCTGCGGCCACGGCGCCTGCCAGCCGACCTGCGACAACCCCACACCCATCTGCACCGCGCAGTGCATCCCGGGATGCCAGTGTGACGACGGGTTCGCGCTGCATGACGGGAAGTGCATCGCCGAGGACCAGTGCCCGTACCCGATCAAGGTAACAGGATCTAACAGAACACAGTTTTTTGCATTATGGGGATTTTTATATCACTCTCTCTCTCACTCTTTCTCTCTCTCACACTCTCTCTCATTCACTCACTCACTCACTCACTCACTCACTCACTCACTCACTCACTCACTCACTCGGAGAAACGGAGCGGAGACACAGCGTTCACGGATGGATTCCAGGCTAGTCAAAACCCACATCTTACAGTCTCAAAACTGATCCTACACCACACAATACAATCTATACATAAATAACTCTCACATGAGATTTTCTACCCAGTCTTCATGAATTGTGCCTGTACGTGTACTATTTTGTAACCCATAGACCCCCGTGGTTGGCCATTAATACTGTGTTGTTCTACCTTCTAGTGTCCCGAACACAGCCATTTCCGTCAGTGCAGCACGTGCAAGCGCACGTGTGAGAACCCTAACCCCGTCTGCACCAGGGAGTGCAAGCCGCCAGGCTGCCACTGCGATGTCGGCTACCTCTGGAAGGAGGGACGCTGCATTCCCAGGAGTCAATGCGATGGCTGCTCCATCGAAGGAGCCGACTACTACCCGGTATTTTTACAAAATATTGCCACCTGGAACAAAAAAGATACCAAAGAAGACGAAAGCCCCCCCAAAATGCCTAAAAACACGCCAAAAATAAGACAAAGCCAAAACCTCTGCTTGGAGAGTAACAAACCGGGAGCTATATTGAAATGATCTCGGTCGTGCACACATAAATCGAACCAAGGAAGTTAAAGGTACGTTGTAAGAACGATACAAAAAGTCAATTATTTTATTGTGTCTTTACAACGTATATGTTTATGTCAAATAAGTGTCTTTCAGGAAGTGGAGGTACAAAAATATGACACCATACATTCGACTCTTATTTCAATTGCACGTAATATATGTCCATTTTCAGGGCATGATGTTACATTATGATATCCCCCTTCAATAACGATTTTTTCCACACAACTGTTTTTTTTTTCAGAACGGAGCGAAGTGGGCTGATGAGACTGAGGGAACAAACTGCATGTGTCTGCGGAAGCAGGTTTTCTGCACTCCGATAGACCGGACCCACTGCGCGGAGAACTCCCGTCTCGAGCTCACATGGGTCGCTGGCGAAAACTATCCCATTTGGACCTGTATCGTCGGTACGCTTTTAATAAAGACATCAAATGCAAAAACAATTTCAGAGTAGCAAAGCTGGATTTTCAAAGTCAAAGTCAATTTTCTGGTAACGGGTTATCAAGCCAATGTAGTAAGTTGACTCCAGCAAGTTTTGTTCATTTGACCAGTATAATGAGTTGGCGTAATGTCAGGCTTGAGTGGTTAGGTCTTGGTTAGGAAAATTAATTCATAGGTAGCTAAGGGTTTGTATTATACTGTTGTCAGTTGTTCTTAGAGTTTGAGTTGGCAAACCCCCAGTTTTTGTTTTTGTGTCTTTTTTTCATATTTAAAAGACAGATCATTGTGACTTTCTAGTGTGCAAGAATTTTTGAGACTGAAATGTGGAAAAATACTTTTTAAGGCCTTGTATGAGTGTTTATAACATGTATGGCCTTAGTTTATAACTTCCAATGGCCAAACGTAATTGGTGGTATATGCCTTTTATCATAGAATCTCCAGAGAGGACTCCAGTGGAGCCTCCTGACCGGAAGTGCCCGGAAAACAGCCACTTCCGGCGGTGTGGGTCAGGTGGATGTCAGCCGACGTGCGAGGAGCCGAACCCCGTCTGTCACCGGGCATGTATCCCGTCATGCCACTGCAACCCCGGCTACGTCAGCGGGGAGGGGGGCTGCACTCCCATCAGCCAGTGCGGTGGATGTTTGCTGGAAGGTGGCCAATACTACCCGGTAAGAATTCTCAACATTTTTGGTGTGATGTAGCCAGCTACCGCCGCGCCGCGTGTCTGCGAAGCTGGTGTGTTACGCCGACGGGTGGTTATACTGGCTATACAGACATACTAGTAATCTTCAAGCAGATCCAAGGGTGTCAAAACATCAAATTGGCCAGGCAGTATCCATTAGCCAGAGATGGATGATACTGTCTTTTGCCACCGCAGGATCTGCTCGGAGATTAATATAGACACATAGCAGATAAAGATAAGATAAGATGTTCTTAGCATGAAACTTCGTCTGTGTTGGTACAAGTCATTATGAAATAAAGACTAAATTTTAACTGCCAACTCTGCAATGAATCGGGACTTATGCCAAATTTTCGTCAACATTTCGGGTAAGTCCAAATTCATTGCAATGTTGGCAATTAAAGTTTAGTCTTTATATCACGATATATACTATTAGATAATCTGTTCTCTTTGCATGTTTAGAATGGAGCCAAGTGGGCGTCTCAGAAGGTGGGTGAGAACTGCATGTGTCTGAAGAAGAAGGTTTTCTGCGCGCCGATAGACAAGACCCACTGCCCTGTGTTCTCCCGGATAGAGACCAGTGAGACCGGCAGCCATGTTATCTGGACCTGTATGAAAGGTACTAGTAAGTTTTTTTTTTTTCAGTCTGAATGTACCGAACGTCAACTTGTTCTGTCAAAACAGGATAAAACTTTTTCAGGTATACATGGGGTACCAAACATTAGTCTCTAATATATCTCACATAGCTTTGGACCCAGCACTACCTCTAGTTTTTACGGACTACCTTGACCCTAGTTTTAGTGGCGTGACCCCAGATTAGGCTAGTCGAACTCAGGGTTTCTCAAAAATCCTAAATTGGGGGTTCTAAAAAAATGTCTTTCCCGTCTTTTAAGATCTTTGGGGTTTCTAAAAAATTAGGATTTTTAGAAAAAAAAGCGGCTTAATTTAGCATGCTATTTTGTCTGAAGATGCGTCGACGACCACGACGAAGTGTGAGAGGGAACGCGAGCTCGCCCTGGAGTCCGGCGCGATGGACGTGTTCGTGAAACAGTGCGACGATGACGGGTCGTACCTGCCGGTCCAGTGTTACGGCTTCACCGGCGACTGTTACTGCGCACACCCGCACACGGGCGCACTGTACCAGGAGACCAGCGCGAAGGGACCGCCGGGGGCGGACTGCAGTACCTACTGGCAGTCGCAAGGAGATAAATCAGGTAACGTATGCTGTAACAGTTACGTTGTACCATTCTAGCCAGAGTACATGTATGATGTATGGCCATACGCGACCAGTCTAGTCTCCACCAGACTCATTTACAGGCTAGATAATTAGTAAAAATTGGCCTAAAAAAAGAATGTAGCTGGCCAGTGGGTTAGCCGGTTGAACATAGTACAAAAAGAAAAGGGTATATATAATGAAACTTAACACCCAAGTTATTAAACATCAAGTGCAATATACGATAGAGGATCCACTCAAACTTGTGCCCCAGCTCCAGAGCCGAAGACGAAGTGTGAGATAGAGCGAGACTCTGCTGTCCGGCGGCCCGGAGTCTTCATCAAGCAGTGTGACGACCAGGGGAGGTACCGCGTGGTGCAGTGCCATGGCTCGACAGGCTACTGCTTCTGTGCCAACCCGAGCGACGGGAAGATTTTCCACGAGACCGGGAAGAGAGGGCAGCCGAAGCAGGACTGTGACAAGTACTGGAAACGGCACGGTGCGTACTTACTTAGTCCTCTTCTGAGCCAGCATGGCTCTTAAGGCAGAAGGAAGGTCTTCCATCTGGCCCGGTCCGCTGCCATCTTTGGTGCCTCATCGAGAGTGAAACCATGGCTCCGCACTTCTTTGTCAATGGTTCTTCGCCATGTCCCCTTCGGGTAGCATCGTTCCCATCGCCAGGTAGGTTAGATATGCTTCCTTCTGTTTCTGTAGCAAGTGTTGTTTTACAGGTTGGGCTCGCTGGCCCTACGCCTAACCTTCCTCCTTCTCATGTTGAGCGTGGTCCAGAGTCAGGAGTTGCCGCTGTCGTTGGCGTTACCCAGAGAGCACCACTTGGAGCTGGCAGTCGGTCTTTACTCCCCACGGTGCGTACAGAAGACCATTAACCTCCAAGCAGCGCTCTTTTTTTATACCTCCATGGGTACACTGAGATGTTTGGGTGGCTGCAAAAGACATTATCAAGTTGGCTAGACAGTATCCATTGGCCACCCTATGGCCAATGGATACTGCCTTGCCACCGTATGATCTGCTTGGGGATTAAAAACATTATAATCTCTTTGCGATGTTGTTCTTAAACTAGAGAACCTGACATTTGCTCGGGTGCAAATACAGCATATTTCACTCCATCTCCCTCCCCTTCCCAAAATGAATGATAATTATGTGGTGTGTGCTATATGGCATGTGTCGTAAAGGGGGAGAAGAAACTAAACCTGTACATGTACTAAAAGTAAGATACCAGACATGTATTACTGTTTTTTGTACGTAGAACTTTAACATGACCCCTATGTAGCTCGTAATGTACAATAAAGGCCATTCATTCACTCATTCATTCATTCATTCATTCATCCATACATTCATTCATTCATTCATTCAGCACTAAAGACGAAGTGCCAGCAGGAGCGTGAGCGGGCTGAGGCTGACCTGGCCTCGGGCATGGTGGGCCTCTTCGTCAAGGAGTGCGCGGAGGACGGCTCCTACAGGTAACGTTATGCCATCTTGGTGGTAGAGGTAATGACAAAGTGTAAATATGAAAGGCAAAGTGTAAATATGAATTTTCATTTACTAAGTACATAGAAACTAGATTTAGGATTTAGACCTCTGACCTCTCAGCACAACCTGTAGTCTTACCATGTTGTAGTTAAGTTACGTTTAGCCTGTAGGTGTATATACATGTAGATAAACGTGTAGCTTGGTTTAGTGTTTGTACGTGTAACACAACTCCAGGAAGACTAGTATGTATAGATATTCTGTACAAACTAATGGAGATCGATCAAATAAACAAACAGGACCCGGCAGTGCCACGCCTCCACCGGGTACTGCTACTGCGTCCATCCGGAGACCGGGACGGAGTACAGGGAGACCGGGGTGAGACCGTGGGAGACCGCGGGGGCTGGGTACGACTGCGACACCTACTGGAAAACGAAGGGTGCGTTACTTAACTTCGCCTTTTTGTTGATTTACCTTTTATTTAGACAATTGTTACCTCCGCTTGCTTTTATATATATTATGGACAAACCACCATGGCTGCATGAAGCTTCATGTATGACTGACGTTCTCTGTTGTAATGTACAAGCCGTATTTTCTATCACCAAGCCGGTATGTGTGAAGGTACCACACATAATGATAGAACAAACGCAGCTTATGTCTGGTGATTTATAAATCTTTTAATGAACGAAGCGAAGTACAATGTACATGGCCTAGCAATATATCTACATCTATCCGATACTAGACACTGCCCCTCGCGGGGTGTAACGCCAATGCCCTGGCGCAACCAGTGATGGTGGTGCAAAAACAATAATGAGACAATAAAAAGTCAAATTGTGTGGTGCAGTATCTACAAAATCAAAAGGAAAAAGTGATGCTATGATATGTACAATGTAGTCCTACCTGGACAAGTTGTCAAATGTATTTTTCTGTTGGACAACTTAATCTCAACATATAGCTTCTTTGTTTGTATTGTTCATTCAGGTGAAGAGACCAAGAAAGAAGAGCTGTGATTGTTTCATACTACGATTTAAGCTATATGCGAATGTCTTATATATATTTGATTGGCAAATTTCTTGCGCAAAAATATAACATTCAGTAAGGCACGTGTTGAAATAATTTTAGAAAAGTCGTATGCCGGAGAAATCGTAACATTATACAAATAGTATAATTACATCTTTGTAACAATTATTAATCGGATATTATTTGTAAACTTAAATTTAGAAGAGAGATATCGAGTAAATTAATGTAATTGTCAATTCTTTGTGAGTAAGACCAAAATAACATCACAGCAATATTCTTGCCTAGGTGACTTAAGGGTTAATGTCGTTAATTATACAGAAGGTACGAAATATATGATTCGAGCTATAATATCATAAGGCGTGATATCATACTAGCTTTAAGTCATACCATTACGTGCAGATATGATACAATTCTTAGATGTCTACCATATATTTCAACTTAAACTTGAAATGGTGGGCTGTGCTCATTTGCTAGCGTTTCTTGCCGAAGCTGTAGTTGACTGTCCATCCACAGTCTTCCGCTAGGAGTCGCATGCAGCGCTCGGCGACCATGCAGATGGTGAGAGTGGGGTTGACTCCCAGACTGCGGGGGATGACGGCGCCGTCAACCACGTACAGGGTTTCGTACACCTCGCCTGTGTTCCCCTGGAACACCTGGAAGAAAAATAACACATAAAAAGCTCATGCATTTTGGGGTAAATAAAAACATTTCTAGTAAGGTTACATGTCCAAAGCCAAGTCAATCCATTGATCTATAAAGTGGCACGAATGGAAGTTAAAGAGTTCCCATGTTGTACAGTTGTACAGGACCAGAAGTCTGTCACCATGGTAACTGGTGTTGGGTTACATAATGTTGCAAGTGCCATGCAGAACTGAGTTCAAGAGGGGCAGGATGGTCACCATATATAATATTTCTTTGGCTAAAAATAAACAAAACAGTAGTTTGTTAAGCTGGGCCATATGAAGGTAAACAACGTAACACACAAGTTGGTGTGTAACGCTTGAAGATCGGCTATACAGATACAGAATATGCATTTGCTTTGCAAGTATTACCTTTCTAGTATCATTTTAATTTTGATACAATCAATTCCCCTCAATATAAAGTTTGCATTCACCTGCCCCTTGTGGTTGACCACCCCGGTCTGGCCGGACTCTCCCATCGCACACCCTCCCAGCGGATGGACGGTGATGACAGACTTCACGTCCCGAGACTTGGCGAACAGACCTCCCCACACCGGGTTAGGGATGAAGGTACCTCGCGGGAGAACAAATCAAATCAACTTTATTGCTCCACAACTGTGACTGGTACAATGTATGGCAAAGAAGAAACAACAAGGGTAGATACATGAACTATATTAATATACTAGTACTATACTAAAAACTATACTGGTATTTCTGATGTTTGCCTGCACCTAACCTGCTCTGGTCCATGTACCGGATTCATATACAAATGTAGGTGTGTGTGCAGGTGGACTTTTGCCTTCGTCAGAATGTATATATGTTTTTGTTACCATAAGTTAGTAAGAAAAGTACCTTCCAAGCTCCCAGCGGCCACCTTATGCCCCCTGTTCACCAACTCAAAGTTCTTCTCCTGTCCGATGTTGGGGTAGTGCATGGCGATGTCGCCATGTTGGTCCAGGACCAGCCTGCCTTGAGCTTTATCCTGACTCATAGTCAGCATTCCCAGCGTGCGGGAAATGTTGTCCGGACGGAGGCTTCGCATCTGCGGAACAACACGCTATACGGGTAACGGTCTAATCTTTACGTGCACTGTAACCATGCATATGTTTAAATATTGTACGTTTTGGAATGCATCTATAGCAGCGACACCTGTGCTGCAGTGCAATGTGAATAAGTCAGAATTGCCCTGAGGAAGGTGACAGACGGTCACCGAAACGTCGGCTGAATAAAAGAGTCGGTTGCGTAAAAAGAGTCTCTTTACTCAGTGACCCAGTGATTGTTATCAATAGTAGTTTGTAGTAATAATTGTAATAAAGTTAGTCTAGTTTTGTAGTATTGTTGTATTACTGCCACACAACGTACCATGTACGATTGTCGAGCAATAAAGTTTATTTATTCATTCTATGTGTGGGCTTTACTCACTGTGTCTTCCCAGAGACTTTTGTCAGGAAACGTGTCTATCCCGCTGACGTGGCTCTCTATGGCCATGAGGATGCTGTAGCCCATCTCCGTCATGTGGGGCGGGGAGCTGTCCTCGATCACGTACCCTTCCCGCAGGTCCTTCTGTGGACTGCGCAGGTCTATGATACTGCTGATGCAAGGGCCTGGGGTGTATAGAAGTAATCTCTAAGCAGATCTTTCGGTGGCCGCAAACGACAGTATCAAATTGGCCAGGCTGTACCCATTACTAGCCAGGCAGTATCCATTACTAGCCAGGCAGTATCCATTGGCAAATGGATACTGTCTGGCGAATTTGATACTGTGTTTTGCAGCCACCGAAAGATCTGCTTGGAGATTAGTATAGAAGTCTTAGCTATTTCACCGTAGATGAACGAAAGGATGTCATTTAATCAGCATTACCAGAACCAGAAATAGGATATATATTCACTACTTTCTTCGGAGGCAGAGCAACGACCGTTTACGAGACGGAAATTGCGCCCTGCTGACGTGCTACATGTAATGTTACGTACCAACAGGTTTCCTCTCGTCTTCTTTCTCAAAGCCAGGAGGGAGTCCCACTGATTCCATCGCATCCCGGCCGTCATAGCTGAAGCTGATGGTGTCCCCGTTCGTACTGAACCGTTCTCCTAACTGGTCGGACATGTTCAGGCCTCTGAAATAGTGGCATGGAGGATAATGAATGGATATAAAAGACCTTTATTGTACATACATACTCACAGGGCTAAGTACAGGTCACAACAAAGGAATAGCTTTCAAATACATACAGAAGGTATGATGTAAGCAAAAACAGTGATCGCTTGTATGGGCTGGGGGGGGGGCATCAATTACGAGAATTCCTTAAAACGCCCTTTCCTTTTCCATGAAGTTTCATCAGGTTGGTAAATCACTCAGTAAAGAGACTTTTTTCCACAACCAAGATTTTTATTCATCCGACGTTTCGGTGACCGTCTGTCACCTTCCTCAGGGCAATTCTGACTGGTACTGGTTCACATTGCACTGCAGCACAGGTGTCGCTGCTATAGATGCATTCCCAAACGTATAATATTTACACATCTACATACATACTGAGAGGGGTGAAGGATACTATTTACACCAGGGCGCCCACCTTTCACTTAACCGCGACAGGGGGCCGACATCGTCTACCAGATACCTTTGACCCTGTGTTGACGTCGCACTTCAAAGAAGCCACGTAACAAACTTCACTGGGTCAGTCTACAGAGGAAGACCAGAAGCTCTAGGTAAGAGAACTTTTTGTGGACCAAAAGTTTTAACTTTAAACATTTACATACATACCTTTTTCTTGAGTTGAGTAGAATCTTGGTGGAGCCCAGCGAGCCTGCGCCCAGAATGACGATGTCGGCCCGCAGAGTCCGCTCCTCCGACGCGCTGTCGCCTGCGTGTGTGACGTAAGACACCCGCCATTCACCACCGTCGACTTTCTCTACGGCTTTCACCTCAACCTGATACACAGAATAGAGTACGAATTTACTTTATTAATAGGCTAGAGTGCTAGTGCCTGATCTTGGTCATGTTTATGTACAAGCTATTCCTTTGTAACTAACCCAGCGGGTATGTAAACATTTCTAAATGATACCCGCCATTCGCCACCGTCTTTCTCTTTGACTTTCACCTCAACCCACTCAGTCTACTGAGGAAGACCAGAGTGACTGGTCGAAAGCTCTAGGTGAGAGGACTTTTTGTGTTGGGTCAAAAGCTTTAACTTAAACAAGTCCTACTGACCTTAGTGAAGATGTCCGCTCCATGGTTCTTGGCGTCAGGTAGATAGTTCATGATGAGGGTGTTCTTAGCGCCATAGTTACATCCCGAGCAGCAGTTCCCACACCCTACACACGCCGCCTGGGGAACACCCACGTGGTTAGACTTCGTGTCTGCGGGAGAGCAAACATGATGGGCTAAAAAAGGCAATATGTGACATATGTGCACCAAAAAATGAAATATCGATAATTTCGTGTGATGATGTTTAGCTTCGCAGAAGGAAAATACATTGTTTTTGCTCTGTTTCTTCTTCTTCTTCTCCAAAAACATAAGGTCAATGACCTGGACCAGACGTCTATCACCATGGTAACGGGTGCGTTTGAGACACCCTGTGGTGTTGGATTACATTATGAAGCAATAGCTTGACAGAGTTGGACTGTGTCACCAGATATATGAATGTGTTTGAGTAATAAACAGAGTTAGATTGTTGGGCTGGACATTGTGAAGGCAATGCAGTAGGGTTGATTCAACTGGTAAACAAATGACCAGAATATTAATTTTACTTTTTGTTGCCTGTTGGCCTTAATGTTACATTATGCAGCTTTTAGCATCAGTTCTGAAGTCTACATATGAAAGCTTTATTTACCTTTAAAATTAACGTACAGAGGCGGTCTGTAGAAAACTTTATCCATGTCTTCTATGTCCAGGACTTCCTTCGCTACTGCCTTGGCTGCTTTCTTCAGCTGCCCCATTTTGGTCAGCGAGGGGTACCGGCGGGGGTATGGGGAAGGCTTGAGCATCTGCCAGGCATGGTCCCGGTCAACCCCATTCACAGCCTCCAGGTCGTCGCGAAATGCCTTTGGCCAAACCTACAACACAGGAGGAAAAATAAAGAAGTTTATTGCAAATTCATGCCCGGGGGGCTAATTGTAGATTACAAACATAAAAGAACAATGAAACGTAGTATAAAATAACTAAAATCTACATGATGAAAGGTAGTTGTCTAGAGCTATAGCTATGTCTAAAACTATGTCTAAGGGGTTTGACTTCTCTTTTTTAGACTATGGAAGACGTAATGTCCCACCTTTTCTAAAATTAGTGGGTTTTGGGAAGTTAAAAGAAGAATAGTTTTTTCTTGGTCTGTAAGTTTAGTAAAATTGGGATAAATTGTAGAAGTTTGAATAGACACAAAAGACACAAAAGGATCTAAATTATCAGGTCAGCATGTTTTCATGCACTGCAATGTGAAGAGGATGTTCAAATCATAACTGCTTGGAGAGTACGGTACAAACCTTATCATCGAAAACCCTTGGGTCACTGTCCAGCCCGACATTGGCGTTTATGAGAGATCCTCCTCCCAACCCACATCCCTGCACAACTGTGACGTCATGGTTCACGACAATCTGCAAACAAACAAACAAACAAACAAACAAACAAATAGATAACCAAATAAACGGTACATCAACCAAATCTTCTATAGATTAGCCTGGGTGCCAGACTTTCCACGACAGACACAGGCCAGTTCCTCGGCTCCAGGGCCAACATGCCCCCAAGGAAATTATACTACAGACCCCATCAGTTAGGCCGCGATCGACAGCTGGGTAATTCCGGGCCTGGCATCCAGGCTTGGATCAAGGCAAGACCAAAAATTCCGTGATGCCATTTCTCCATCCCGTCCACAGTGCGAAGAACAACAAATCGGAGATGTATTTTGTGTATTCATGACCCTCAAGTTCACACACAACTAGAAAGTCTTGTTTTTATGTGAAAGTATTTAAACTGTGGAGGGATACAGTAGTATGACGCCATTTAATCAATATAACAGAGATATAACAGACGTTTAAAGGACGTAGTCAAGTTAAGATATACGCACATCCACTAGATCGGTGGGCTGCCCGAGCTTGCAGTCGATGCCGGAGTCTCCGGTGTTGATGTCCACCTGCGTCTCCCCGGCGGCCTGCAGGATGTCGTCCGGGTACTGCCCGGGCTGGAGCTCCTTCCCCCGCTCAAGTACACACACGGACACGCCCGCTCTGCACGGCAAGGAGCGACAAGGTGAAGTTTATTATAGACAAAACATCACTCGAAAAACACATCAGTCTGTTCTTTTATTTCTACAATAACTGAAAGCGAAAAGTTGAATTTATGTAACGATAGTCTTGTACGAAGGCCAATTCTGTTGTACCCACGTGTCTGTCTGCATATCTAGTTGTAGAAAGTTGCTATGCTTTTTTTTATTCCAACAAATGTATAACAACACATGGTGACGACACACTCAAGTTTTCTCAACTTATTTTAGGCCACAGAGGACAGGACAGGACGATACTCATTGTCACTTGAGTTACATACAGGAAAGCCAGACCGTCATCTTACCTGGCTGCCCGACTTGCAGCGATAGACCCTCCATACCCTGACCCGATGACGACCACATTGTACTTGGCCTTGAGGTTTGCAGTGGTAGGCTCCGACAGTCGCCTGTATGTGTACTGGACAGAGAACGTGGTACCTTTCATTTCATTTATTACGAAACCTTTAAGCCCTACTTGGCTAGTCTCCCAAGGCTCAAACACATATTTAAAAGGCATACCTACATCACAAAATCCACACTCAGGTAATAAATTCTGCTGCACTTCATGATGTCATGTCTGTTAGTCCAACAGTATTTTACAACATGTCAGCCTGTGACTGTAAACACTTCATGCCTGAGTTAGATTATTGTAAACAAGCCATATCACGAGGAGGCTGTCTCGTTTTACGAAAAGAGAATAGATCGTGCTTTTGACACAAACACCGATACAGGGCGGACGATTGGCCTCGGGTTATACCCAAAAGACAAAGGGCTAGGATTTTTAGTGCATTCTTGAAATAACTCGGTCGCTATCACTCTATAGAGAGGCATCGAGGACTTTAAAAACAAGAATGACACAAGTGCATTTTCAGACATGTAAGATTATATCAAGGATTTGTCTTGAACCAGACATTTGCTACAGTAAAGCAAGCCGTTTGACTAGTGTACAATAGTTTGAGGTGAATTATATTTGCTTCAGACATGTCGGATCGCAGTATACCACACCCTTGCCCATCCTAAATAGTTATGGATTAATAACACATAACTTGTTACATGTATAAACGTAGCTACAGCATATTTTGTAGTAAATGTAGTAGACATGCCAATTTTTGTACATATTATAATCAGGTATTACTGCAAATATTCAAATCGTTGAGCCATAATGTTTAGAAATCATGTCGTTTTAGAAATAACGGATTGTAAACAAGCCTTACACGTATACAATTCAACCTGATATACTAGCCTGGATGCCAGATCCATAGCATGCAAGACAAGACTGGATCAGGGCCTAACTGTGGTAAACTTTCCTTCGGGGCATGCTGGCCCCGGAGCCGTGGAATTGGCCTATGTAGGCCCTGGAAACAGTCTGGCACCCAGGCCTGGTACAAGGTTACTGTTGTTGAACCTATAAACTATAGTCTACAACTACTATAACTACAGCTACCCGCCTGTTCTAGAGTTTATGGAAGGGCAGTGTTCCGTGCCAATGCTCTGATGAAGTATGGTTTAGAGGTCATATATGTTTCAGTCCTGAATATATCTAGTAAGACAGCTTATTGCTCACAGCTATATACACATTACCATTGGTAATGAGAAAATAAAGGTAGATTTGTAGTCATGTGCTGGGCTGCATTAGTCGTATCTAAACAGGAGTTAACAAAGAATGTTATGTTATCAGGTCTGACAGGTGACAACCTTGGTACAGCAGGGTATTAAACGCCCCAAGATGGCGCGTAGTGACAACAACATACCCGACTAACATACAAATGTAAGGCTAATGTTATATGCAACATTCATAAATACGTAGCGTGTCTTGGTCTCGTTGTGTGAGTGCTGTACCGCTTACTTACGAAGCACAGGTCGTTCTAGGTTACAAACAATAGAATTACCTTTGGTGTTTCAGTCTCCCCTCCCGCGAGACAGCTACATATCTTCCCCGCCATTGTCACGGTAGTGGCTTGTACACAAACACGAGCAGAAACGGTAACCGTTGTCCCCACCAAGTGAACCGGGTATGATTATCACGAGACGAGAATAGTAAGCCGGAGTGAACTCTACGTAAAATACATACAATGCATTTGTCAAAATAGTGTCTGGTATGTATCTGAGCTTGATGTTTGTTTTCCCTCGCTACACCGGTAGTACAATACAGTACCGTGACCTTGACCTGGCCTGACACACAATAAGCATGGCTCTTGAGGATCAGATGTCTAGTACTATCTAGTTTTACCTTCAAGACTGCGTTTCAATGTATTTGTCTCAGGAATTAACACTTTAGACCCTGACAATGTACCCTAAAGTACCAACTTGTCATGTCAACTGTCAATTTTTGACAAATTCTATACGGCACATACCACCCCTCCTCCCCCACAAAAAGGGTACTTGGATTGGTCTTTTTGGCTTCAAAAAGTAAGCATCTAACAATGTGTATCTCTGTCTAAGCTACATGCATACCAAAAATCCTGAAAATACTTTGTTCCTTTCTGAACCTATCCGCTTTCGCCAGACACTCTCCTGCAGTTCCAGAACAAGCTGCTAGGGGAGCAAAACCCACGCCACCAAAAATCAAGACCTTAGCATATCCAGGACAAAATATACAACAAGAATTCCGAGATTTCATACCTCCATGAAATATGGGCTTGATATGTAAATGTAAATTTCCTCTTTAATTATGCAAATTACCTCCGCATTAACATGATATATGCATCGTGATATATGTTAACTTTTGATTAACTTACAGATGTCCCAAGTATGACATTCCCATTATTCACCATTAAGAAATCATAGAATTTTTGCATAAATTATGCAAATTAGGTCATCATTTGCATAATTAGTATCTATTTATGTTCTGCCTGCCATAGGTTACATACATTACATGTATGAAAGTAGTATAATGTAAAACACTGTAATCATAGAATTTCCTCATTAATTATGCAAATAAAGTCCTCATTTGCATAATTTGCATTTAATCATGTACATCTCTCTCTCAGCTACCTACACACCAAAAATTATGAAAATATGTTGTTCCTATCTGGACTTATTGGCTTTTAAACATTTCGCCAGAAAGTGCCCTGCAGTTCCAGAACAAGCTGCTAGGGGGACCAAACTCACATCACTTATTCCTGACAGGAAAAGCAATCTGTCACCAAAATATCAAGACCATAGCATGTTCAGGACAAAAGATACAAAAACCGGAAGTTCTGCTGCAGTACCAAGGTCATCCACCAGGAGGCCCATATTTGACCTTGACGTTTGTCTTCCTAAGACTTACCAACATACTAAATATCATCATAATCCATAAAGGCGTTCTGAAGTTATGCTGACCACAAAGTTGCGGAAACACACACACACAGACAGACACATACACATACATACATACAGACAGACACACCAAAAACAATACCTCCATTTTTCATGGAGGTAATAAAAACTACTGCAATACAGAGGTCAGCCACCAGACATTCCTCTTTACGGTATCTCTCTGAAAGGCCATGACGAACCACACAAGTGTTTCACCGGACAATCACCCCCGTGTTGATTAAGTAACTTGTCGGCAGCAGTAGTTAAGGGCATTGCCCTTCCATTCACACCCTTGCATAAGTTCGCAGAGTTCATCTCTTGTTACAAATGATGCGGTGCACATCCTGTGTACGAGTACTTCGCTTGAAAAACATCTGAAAAACCTGCCCCAGGGCAAATCATCAAAGAGATGAAGCACATTCAATTCTACTTGATCATTTTACTCCTCATGTTGTTGCCCTCTGGGTATCAGAGGCCGCATCATAAATGAAAGGAAGTTGAAAGTGCATCAGCTAAGCTGAATGCACAAAGCTGTTTTCTTAGTTTCGGCCATACAAAGAAACGTTTGGTAGTTTGTGTTACAGCCCAGCTGCTTAAACTCTCTAATTACTAGTGTTGATTTTCACATTTCTCATTAACCATCTATGATTAATATAATTGGCACCCCTGAAGTTTTACGGTCTTCTCTGTACCGAGGGCGTTCACTTCTTACTTTGATCAGTATAAACTCCGAGTTCTGACAGTCAACAGAGGCAGCTATCACTCCTTGATAAGGTCGTTCACCTTTCTAACGAAATTACTTGAATACATTCACCTGTTCTCGGAGGAACGTTTTGATCAAATTTTCTTCAAAGACAAGGACGCAATCTCCGTATTCCTCCCCCAGTTTATGATAGGCTCTGATCCACTGGCTAACTCTGGGCCTAGTTACATGTTTTAACGTTACGTGGCTACATGTAGCTGTCCCTGGACTGTCAGAGGGTGTAACATGGGATTGAGTGACAAGAGACATGTCCAGTAATCTACCTGCAGTGCATGTATGTAAAAGGGCATAATGAGGTTGAAGTAATTTGATTTTTGTACAGCATTTGAAAGACTAAAACTCAACATCACTGCAGTAATGTTACCATAATGATTTAAGAATTCAACGCTTAACTCAATGGTTTAAGAACTCGTGGTCAGTGCTCATTTTAAAAAGTTAAGAAAACACCCCCTTTAATTTACAAGTTTTGGAATGGTCCATCCTACGTGAGACCAGGGATGGCTCGAGGCTAGTAGATCTGCCGCCGACAACAGTGATTATAGATAACCCAGAGACACTTGCGCTGATGCAAACAGACATCGCCTCTTCGTAGGAGCAGTGTGCTGAAAACCCGAGCCTCCTGGCTTCAAGTCCTTCAAGAGTAAGTTCCGCACTTATGCTCATGTTTATCACATACACTGTGGGTCTGTGTAACAACATGGACGAACTTTATCGTCTTGCTGTCGTTAATTTGTTTATTGCTTTGCTGTAATTAGTATGTCGCTTGGCCGCAGCGCAGCTAGAAGTACTGATATGATAATTTAATGCCAGTAAGATGCATTGAAGGTATGTTTGATACAGATGTTTTATCAACAGCCGATAATTCTATCCGTATTTGTTATCGGATGGTTGGATTTGTGACCTATTTAATATCTCTTTATCGGGCGTATTTAGATTTTATGTCAGAAATGGAGAGTTGGTTTCAAAGAAAGTGAAGTCTTTCGTTTGACATGGGAGTGGTACGTTTCAACGAATTGTGCTGTTCTGATGTATCCTCATACTTCACACATAAAAGCGTATGCAGCATACATTGCAACTATTTTACGCTAAAGGGTTTTTTTGGCGACATGAGCGGACCGACTGGTTTTGCATGTCAAATAATGTCGGTTTACCAGCAGACGACCTCGCCTACAGACAAGACAACATTCATTCACCAAGGTTCTCTCCTGTATGAACGCATGACGCGGTCTTTCTTAGAAACCACACTTCACGGTCACAAGGTCCTGAGTTCGAATCCCACAGCAAAGTCGTCCCAACCCTGTAAAATGTGAGCCCCGATATGGTCGTAGTTCGTAGGGCCTGCAGCCCTTAAATATAGACGTTAAGCCGGCTGTCCCGTGTTTTGGAACAACCACATCTTGAGCGTATTAAACACCATCCGGAGGTATAGATAAGGTTGAAGATATGTTCTGTGTGGGAAGGTTCACACCAATTAGATTATTCCGCAGTCGCGATTTTCACTTGTCAACTTTAATCTGGTTTTCCTCTAGAGCTGGAATCACCGTGGCTCCAGAGTGGCTTCAGCCCAATTACAAACACAGATACCCTCCTCGTATCTTTAAACCGTAGTCTACCTCCTTCTCCATGCCCGCAGCCAGGATTTTCATTGGGGGGGATTCTTCCCATTGTATGAGGGACCAGCGAGCGCCGAAGGCACAAGCTTCTGAGGGGTATCAGGGGGCATGCTCGCCGGAAAATTTTGAAAACTCAACCTTCTGAAATGGCATTTCCTACGTTTTGGGGAGGATTTCCAAGAGAAAATCAGTGATAACTTTTTATTTAATGACAAAGTGAGCAGTTCTTTTAGTATCCCAACCCCACTGGTGATACAAATCAGTTCACCTTTTGAAGAAAATTCTTGGACCTCGAGATAAAACAAAAGGGGGACCTTTGAGCCTTGTGGGGGAGTTCTGACTACGGGCAGTCAGAAGTGTCTACCTCCTTCTGATAGTATTGATTGGAATCTCTGTAGTCAGTAGACGGACTTCAGACATTTGTGGGCGTTCATAGTAAGGGAAACGTGCTGTGAATTCAGGCTTGTATAATTATGGTAATGATTGTGATTATACCATTTAGCCACATCAATATGTCTTTCCGGGTGACCGAGCATAAGGGTCATGTAAATGCACATACAAAGTAAACAAACGCGTACATGTACCTATATACCAAATGTTTTCTTCTGTAAGAACGTTCGTACGATGCGGTCTTGCTTAGAAACCACACTTCGTGGTCGCAAGGTCCAGTTTTACACACACACACACACACACACACACACACACACACACACACACACACACACACACACACACACACACACACACACACACAGACACACAGAGAGAGAGAGTGAGAGAGAGAGAGAGAGAGAGAGGAGGGAGAGAAAGGGTAAGGAAGAGAGAAGGGAAGAGGGGGAGGGAGAGAGAGAAGGGAGAGGGAGAGAGAGGGGGAGATAGAGAGTGGGATCGGAAGAGAGAGAGGGAGAGAGACAGTTCAGAGAAATATCCATCGCCTTTACTGGTTTTGGCAGTCCCCATGGGCTCAGTAGAGGGGACATTACGCACAGGCGATTGCGGCGTTTTTGACACAGTTAATTTGATATCACTCTTAATGCATAAGTTGCATTAGAACACTCAATAGAACACGCTTTAACGTTATCAATCCCGTTGGGATTCCAAAGGTGGCAAAAAGATTCTGCTTGAACATTGAATTGAATACTTTTTCACGTGTGCATGCCACGCGGACTCAGTTAATGGGATTGTAATATGAGGGCAACAGCATGAGGAGTAAAATGATCTAGAAGAATTAAATGTACATCACCTCTTTGATGATTTGCCCTGGGGCAGGTTTTTCAGATGTTTTTCAAGCGAAGTACTCGTACACAGGATAAACCGCATCATTTGTAACAAGAGATGGACTTTTTGGACTTACTCAAGGGCGTGAATGGAAGGGCAATGCCCTTATATATATGGCCTTGATATTACCCGTGAAAACATAATTGTAGTAATGAGAGCCCACAAATTGTCCTTGAGAAAAACACATACATTTCTCAAGAGGGGTTCAATAACCATAAATGTGCATTAAAACTGATGTAGGCGTGAAAGAACGTCGACGCAGGGTTTTGATGGCGTTTACATGAAGAATGCGGCAATCAGAAATGTTGAATAGCCCTTATTTTTTCAATTTCACTTCTCTATGTAGATTGCAAGGGGCAAAGAAGACCATACCCATCGTTGTGATAAAAACTGATACTGGCGAAGTTATGTAAAGGACGTCGACGCAAGGTTGTGATAGCATTTACAGGAAGAATGCGGTAGTCAGAAATTGAATAGTCATCATTTTCTTTCAATTTCACTTCTCTATGTAGAATTCAAGGGACGTAGCAGACGTTGTCCATTGCTGAGCTAAAATTCCAAACCCTGAGATACCTGGTTGGACGTTTTGATTCATTGGCCTCTATTTTCACATGACATCTTCTTTTAAACATTGTTCGGTTATTGGAATCGGGATTCTGAGTGTCGTCATGGCGACAAGAATCAGTATGACGTGTCCATGACGTGTGTCCTAGATTCTATCTGCCATACTTAGTGTTTCCAAGTACATGTAGTCCTTTTTATCGTACATTTCCCACATCCTAAGGAAGGTAAAATGCATATACTGCTCAGTAATTCTATTCCTTTATTGAAAGGGTAGTCCTATAGCCTTTTCGAGACCGTAGGGGCAGTGGGTTGTTGATCTCTGCGTCTAGGACACGGTATTGGAAGGTGGGGCCCGTCCCTCTCCTTTCCCTGTATTTTACATTCGTACCTCCCAAACCGAAGTCAGGTACCCATTTTACACCTGGGTGGAGTGAGGAAAGCCATTCTATTGTGCCCTTCCCTAGGCACAACGTTTTGCTATAAATATGTAAGTAACCGAACCCGTGATTTCTATATGTCGAGTCCTCCACCTTAGCCACTGGGCCACTTGACGCCATTTATGTTATTGTGAATGAGCTTATATACCAAAACAAATCCCTCTTAGAGTTACTGCCGACAGATTTTGCCGACAGTAAAGCAGAAAATATTATGAATTTCCGTGGTAATCTGTACACATTTATGAAGATCGAAAACATGTCATGGTAGATATTTCATTCTCAAGCAAGGAAAAAAACAATTCCTGCAAAATCACATTATTTCTTAAGGAGAAAGTAATTTGACTTTTCCCTGTGGGGTCACTAAAGTAAGAGTTGAACGAAGTCTTCTAAATTTGATTAAAATCCAATCCAATTTCTTGAAGTGGGTTTATTTCATTGCCCGGTTCCGTAAGAATGGACTAGCATGGTAAATCAAATTATGTTGAGAAAATGCGGAAAGAGATAGAGAGAAAAATACGTCTAGACAGAACTAGAATCGTGTCAGACATGTATATCTCAACCCAGATTCTAACCATGAAAAGGCCTGGTTCTTTGGATGAACTTATCAATATTCTGTCCGCGAGGTTTCCAAGAAAGACGTCTTTAGAATGTGATATTGTCCGGTTGCCGCCGAATTTTCCCCTTCTAGTCGGAAGAAAGAATGAATTCCAGGAAAGAGCGGAAGATGGGGCGTGGCCGGGCAGCCGTGGTGGCGCGTGGGAAGAGAAGGCAACTCATCACTTTGTAAAAACTGTCTATGGGCCTTAAGAGTCTGTCTTCAGACGAGACTCTAGTTGTAAGACGGGCTTACATTCTATCAATACGTTCTGCTTTGTTCACTTTTAAGCCTGTAACCGTGTTCATAAGCGGGTTGAGACCTCATTTTGCAGAAGGCTTTACCTCTTCATCCTTTATCATTCCTCATCAAAGTTGCTTACAGGATGGGACCACAAGAATAAACGTACTTTGAAAATGCCGACAGAAGAAAGAGAGAAAAAAACGCTGAAGAGTCTTTCGAAATTCGCATCCGCCGAAGTCAGATTAAGGCAAGAGGTCCACCCACATTTTCTTTGAAACATCTAACACCGTATCATCTTTAAACCGATTGCACTCTTAGAGCATACAAAATGTAATGCGACGTACACGATTAAACAGAGTGTGTCTAAAATTTGAGAAACAGTAGCAATCTGAGAACATTCAACTAGGTCTCTCATGTATCCACACTTTTTTCAAACGTCTTGTAAAATACTTTTATTTTTCATTGTAAAAGTGGCTGCGACAATCTTTAAACCATGTAAAAGTTGTGCCTAAGTTGAGTTCGCAGTCACTTTGTCTGTGTCATTTCATTTGTTTTCTGAATAAAATAAAACAGAGTGAAAGCAAGAAATCATTTCAATTCTCCGTGACATGAGCTAATAGCATTTCGGCGTCAAAGCGTGTGTTAGTAATTAGCAGACTGGAAGGTTGGCACCAGTCTGTCCCCTTGTTTGTTGATTCAGATTCGAATCGGCGTTTTCTGCTTCCGCCATCGTGTCTTTTGATCGCCTGAAATTCACGACAGATGACGTGTAAATTGGCTGTACGGTGCGTTTTTACACACCTCCGTCGGCAAACCGTCGATAAAACCATCGCATCGTCTAGTCAGATCAATTTTATCATTAACCTCGGGTGCGTACATAGGGTGCCATTCGTCTGTCTGCGTCAAACGG